TCATTAAAAATTACAATTTTTAAGTAATAAATAAAATTTTACTCATTTATAAGACTCATGAATTTATTACATTTACTACCACTCAATCCAATAATATAATATAATTATAAACACAATCACCATATTTTTAATCCACCTCATCCCCATATAATAAATATCTCAAGCCAAAAAAAAATAATAGCATAACATAATTAAATTCATCATCTTTAAGCGATAAATAAAATCAATCAAATCTTACTCATTTATAAAACTCGTGAATTTATCACAATTATAACCATTCAACCCCAAATGACACAATAAAATTATAAATTTAATACCAAATTTTCAATCCTCCACATATAAATATACACAAAAACATACTTTCACACATTTATTTTTTGGCTACCAACAAACCTTCTTAACCAATAACTGATTTAAGTTTTTATGATAAAATTATAATAAATTAATATCTAATTAAAAAATAGGGTAGAAAATATGGACTTTCACAATATTATGCAGACACCCCCCGATATTTTATAAATGACAGGGAGATCTTTGGAGTTTAAAATTTATTACACAGAGACCTCATCTGTCTCCCTTACTTCGATATTGATAACGGAAAGTGATGATTTTATCTCCCCAAAAATTTATTATTTTTATAATTGTCTTTCTCCAACTTTAGTACCCAAAAAAAATTTAAAATTTAAAATTTAAAAATAAAATAAGATTTGATTTAGTATCCAAAAAATTGATATAATTTCGTACTCAAAAAATTGATTGAATGAATTTTAATATTAATTTGGTATTAATATAAATTGAACAAAATTAAATGTCAATTTTTGATAAAAATATATATTAATTTACAATTTAAAGTTCATTTCATGTTGAATATTATTTGTTGTTGATTAAACCAACATGAAATTGACCTTAAATTATAATTTTTTTTGTTGTATACAAACTTAAAAATTTGTATTTTAACCCATAAAATTTAAATACAGATTTTTTCATACCATAGCGTATTCTCTCTTACTGTATCATTTGATAAATTTTCTTTTGGTCAAGATTTGATCGCACATATTTAAACCAAACCAATTGTTAACCCCTACTTTTTTTTTTTAAGAGAATCGCTCACCTCTACTTGTTAAACTCAAAAATTTCTGATTCACATGAAAATAAGCGAAAGTAAATTAAAAAGTTGACAAAAATTATTAAAAAAATTTTAGTTTGAATTTTTTTTAAAAATTTAGTACCAAAATTATAACAAATAGAGCAAACATTAAAAAAAGCTAAAAAAATAATTTATATAAAAACCATTATCAATGAGAATTTTAGAAGAATTTAGGCCTTGAATAAATTAAAACCTAATTTAAAGCAAAGATGTGAAACTCAGATAAAAAAGTCTTCAAATCGTGAAAAATGTGTGTTATTTTTTATTTATATTAAGTGTTATTTACAAATTAAGAAGCAAGTGACGACATACATGTTGTCAGATATATAAAACTTTGAATTAATTTTATAGAATAAATAATTTTATAACATATAGTTTCATATATTTTGTGGAGTAAATAATAAAAAAATAACACTTGAAAAACATAAAAAATAAAATAATAATAAAAGAGAGAGAGAGAAAGAAAGAGAAAGAGAGAGATTATATAAGATATATATAAAGAGAGTTAGATGAACGATAGGAATCTTTAAAAAATTTGACATGATTAATAATTGTCAAGCGATCTGAGACGCGAAAAGCTAAAGATAAAAAAATTTAGCTATTTTATTATATATATATATATATATATATATATATATATATATATGGGATATTCCCTGACAAAAGTCACTGTACACTAAAATATAATATTGTGTGTATTAGAATTTATATATAATGTGTGTGCAACTGCGTTTTGTGGAGTACTTGTGTTAGGTTTGTGAAATTGGGTGGGTGGGTGGGTGCGTGGGGGGGGGGAGTTTGTGTTGGGTGTGTGAAATTTTTAGGGAGAAATATACTTTCATAAGTTCAAAAATGATTTATTTTATATATATACATATATATATATGCACACACGTAAATTTAATCGCTTTAAGTTTGAATCTTAGAAATTTTTTTTATTAATACTTTAGTTCTGACGTAAATGTTTTGTTTTTAATTGGACTAAAAATTAATTAAAGTGTACATAAATTAGTTTAAACATTCTTGACCGTTAAAAAAAAATGCAAAAATTGTCTTTGACTACGTTTGTTATTCTTCTCAAAAACAAAATTAATTAAGTTAGTATAATAGTTAATTATCAAACTTGAATATAAACTTTAAGATTCAAATTTCCAACTTTAAATTGAAAAGTTTAATTGAAATGTCATATATATAATAAAATAGAACAAATTTGAATTTTGGAGACATAGAGCGACTTAGATCGTTTTCTGACCAAAAAAGACATCTTCCAACAGACGACGTTATCTCAAACTATTGACGTCTCAGATTGTTTCGATCCAACGTACCAAAATAACTATTAAAATTTTTTTGCTGCTTATAATTTTTAATTTCCAAAATAAACGTCCCAACATTGAATTCGTCTCTCAATCTCGCCCAAAATCAAAGTCATATAAATTTAAAATTCTATTTATATCTAAAATTCTAAAATTAACGTCTATATTTAAATTTTGACTCCTACTCATGCTGTTCTAAATAATATCCTTTTCATATCAAATAAATCACTTTTCCACATCACAACTTGAGAATATTCAATATAATGATAATACTATTTTAATTACTTCGATTTCCTTTATCACCTGCATCCACCTCGATCTTTTCAATTTAACGTTTTTTGCACATTTATAAATTTTGTAAGTTATACACTATTCTTGCAGTATACTGAAATTCAACTTGATTTGTTGTCAATATGTCTTATAGTTCATTTGATTTGTTATCAATTTTATATATTATTTGGTTTGGATTGTAGTTAAAAGTAAGCTTGTTTTCTCAAAGCGATACTAATAGTTGCTAAAGATATGTTTTTAAGTTTGAAAGTGATAATGATGGTGGTCTTAGTGATTATAGTTAATATCGAAGTTGTGATGAATGGGTGGTGGCGGGGTAAAGCTCTGGGGACAAATTTGCACAACATAAAAGTAACTTAGTTGATGAAATTTGGTTTAAATTGAATAGCAAAATTAATTTAAATAGTTGACTTGATTAGATTTAATTTCAATTTGAGCACAAAATTTGATTAGTTATCAAAATTTAGGTTAAGTAGTAATAATGATAATTGCGGTATTAGTAGTAATAATTCTGTATAGTTGTGTTTTTAGAGGCACGCACATTCTCTAAACTATCAACATATTATGAGGACAAAAAAGTATAATTTAACACGATAGAGTGTTAAAAATTTAATTTTAATTGATTTAGGTTTTGTTGATGTTGTTTATTATATTTTTTGTTGTAATTCATCTCTTAATCCCCTTTTTTTGCTTTCTATCTCATATTTATTTGATTGACTTCATATCACAATGATTTTTGAATTTACTACCATATTAATCAATAATTAAACGGTTAATTGAACAATGTTTGAGATCGTTTTGATTTGTATTCTATCAAAAAATTTTTAAAAAATAATGGGCTCATATTATATGTATTAATGTTTTTTTTTTAGTTTTTCTAATTGACAATTTTTTATGGCATATAATCTTTTAATGCACATGCATTTGATTATAATTTTTTTGTTTGTTACGTTGTGTCTTCGGATGCAGACAATTGTTAATTCATTAATAACCGTGTTAAGAGTATCTTTGATTATGAGGGGGCAATTGTACGAATATTAACAAGAATAGAATAAAAATAAAACTTATTAGAAAGTATAGTTAGACTATCCTAAGGCGATCATGAAGATTGGGAGAAATTAGAACTTATCTATGATGCACATTATTAATATGCGACCTATGATCAATAAGAATGAAAGTTTAAATTGGCTAAAACATGAATTATGGCATATTTGATTGGAATTTTGGTGTGTTATATTTTAAATAATTAATTAAAATTTTAAATTTTGAAGTAATATTAAAAAAAATGGTAAGAGTGGTTGTAAAAAACACATGTAATTAGAGTGAATCAATTAAATATTTCAAAATTTTAATAAATTAACATTTAAGGAAGAATACTTTTCAAGGTCTCTCATTACTAATTTAATTGTTTTATAATATAGTCAGATAAGATATTACTTTATTGGTTGCCTACAAAACATTATGGGGGTGTAATGTTATTATGAAAAATAGAAGGGGACTCTACATATTTTTTGACAAGAGTAACAACCAGCATTGTGCCTCCAATTAGTAGTAGTCTTTGTTAAGGTTTTTTCAGGGGAATCTATGGTTGTTTAAGGTCCATTCATCCATTATATTAGTTATAAAAAAAATCAATTCTGACTTTAATAGAAATGTCTCTTTTAATAAATATAAATAGGAACATTACGTTGATAATATTTGATAATTTTATTTTTATGTGTGATCTCAACCCGCTAAAATGTATATAAATCAAATTTTTAATTGTTGTCTTGACCTTATGGGTTTTTTGTTTCCAAGTAGTTATTGATTGCAATGTATAAAAAGAGTATTTCGTTTATCAAGCTATTTTGAATTATTAAATATTTGATACTTTCAATACATGAAATGGTAAACAATCTTGGTGGGGGATATTTGGGGCAAATTGACATAAATGGGAACTGAAGGGATCAAATTAGAATTATGCGTAACTAAATTTGATGAAAATGAAACAAAATGAAGTTGTGGTGGATGGATGAGCATCACGTTGAAGCACGTGGCAACCTTATCATGTCCTGCGAGAGCATCTCGAGAATATTCCATACAAATAATAGTTGTCAATCACGCCTCGTTTACGTCACGCATAGCCTACCGTTGAAGCTTATACAGATCAAGCGTTCACAACCGTTGGATCAAATTTGATAGTCAATAAATAACGGTTATCATAACCTTCTCAAATCTGTGCTCCATATTTCTTTGTTTTTCTTAGATCTATTTCTCGCTATTTTGTTCCCGTGAATTTTCTCACCGGATTCTGGTAGATCGTTCGGCGATCTATGTTTTGCCCATGGCTTTGAGTAGTTTAGTTGAGCTATTCGCCTCTGTCCTTTTCTCTCGTTGATGTGGTGCTTTATGGCTCGGTCATCGTTCCTTTTTTGGGCGTTGCTTTAGATCGAGGGAGTTCGGTTAGAGATGACGAATAGATTGACGTATCAACACAGGTTTGGTATGGGTCTGTTTCTCTTGATTATTGAGTTTGTTGGATTTATTTAACTCCTGAAGGCCTCTAGATAGATGGAGTACGGTTAGAGATGACGCAAGATCGACGTATCAGTACAGGTTTTGTACAGATTTGTTTTGTTTGATCATGTTCTTGCAGTTTGACCGTTTCTATTGATTCTCGAGTATGGTGGATTTTATTTTATCTCTTGAAGGACTCCCCTGGGTCTGCTGTTCGATCTTTTATTTCTTGGATGCTAGATCATGTCATCTGTCAAGATTTGTAGGGGTGTAAGACTTTATATCCTCGCTGTTTTATATTCATGTACCTTTTCTGCCACGGATCTACTCATTTCTTAATAATTTTGTGTTTATGCAGGTTTTAAAGCCGTAGATAGGAGCCCTTTGACGCCCTGTGGCCATTTACGGTAGATTGTTCGTTCGATTAGAGATCTTGATCAAGATTTGAGCGGCTTTGTTTGGTGTGAAGGCGTTGAGGCTTGAACGAGATCTTGATCAAGGATGTGCTTTGAGGCTATATGAAGGCGATGCAAGGTTTTTGTGTGATCATACTAGTAATTACGGCTGAATTAGTTGGTCAGTGTTATATGCTTTATCATGTCTAGTGCGGACTAGAGGACTGAGAGCTTCGCGAGGTATATATGTTGGAGGTATATGTTCCTTGTTCTTGTTAACCGGCCTTTGCCATGTCAGGTGCGCTTGCATGGCAGGTCAAAAATACTCTAATAAAATTTTCTCTTTTGTGTTCTGAAGGGAGATGGTACGGGGGTTTGCCCGGCTCTCCCTTCCTGTGTCTTTTTTTTTTCTCGGATCTCCTTGTCCAACACGTTTCAACTTCATCGGGCCTTTTATCTGCCTCCCGAATGGTTATGGCCGGTGGTTATTTGCATGCCATACGTATTCAAGGCAAATTAGACCTCCAGTTGCCTATTCTTGATGACGGTGATTCGCCAGCAAACACAAGTTTCGGACTCACTGTATCACTTGGTGTAAAAAGGTACAAATAACAATGCCCTTCCAATATTTTCAAATATTCATTATCCTTACAATTGCATAGTTTAGCCAGAATCATAGCCTGAGCAATTGTTGGAAGTTTATTATCTCCAGAATCATATCGTGAGCAATTGTTGGAAGTTTATTTTCTCCAGAATCATATCTTACATCTTTATCCCCAAAAAACTGAACTAATTGGCACGCAATTATTCATTTGAATGAGCATATTTGTATTGGATGGAACTTTGAGATGGTGCATTCTTCGGCTACTAAAATACATAGTTTCTCAATGCAGTAATGGCGGCAATTGCTTACAGATGTAGCTTCTCTCTCTCTCTCTCTCTCTCTCTCTCTCTCTCTATTTTTCAGTGAATGGTGGTGATAATATTGCCTATTGTTCACTTTTAGATGATGAGGAAATATCCTACAATGTACAAGGAATTAATGTGATTGTTTTGTATTGTGTCCTTGGTTGTATGTAATATCTCTGTTATTATTTTCAACCCTTTTGTTTTGGGGATTATGGTGGATTTGAGGAGTCTTGAGAGAGACCAAGGTCGGTCCAGCCTATTAAAGGATCATGTAAAGAATTCAAAGCTTTTTAAATATAATCTGTCTTAGGCAGTGTACCGGCGATGCGATGTTTGTGGATGTTCGTTGGATCATGTAAACAGAGACCAACAACTGCGGTGCCTATGTTCGTTGGATCTATAAAATTTGCAACGGACTGATGAATTTGCGGCTTTTGGCGGAGCTGTTCGTGGGCTGCACAAGATGAATGTTCGGACACTTAATTCTGTTATTTGGCTGAGATGAAATCAGTTCTATTATTTGTCCTACTTTTTTCTTCTTGAAAGAATCGTTTCAGTGCCGAGGTTTTTTTATGGAAGCACTTCAAGTTGAAATGTGTTAGTGGCGTTGGCGTACCCGATATTGGAAGCACTTTATTTCTGGTTCTTGGTGTTGTCACCATTCTGTCCAGCAGTGGGACTGAAAAAGGGAGCAAATTGTTGTCGTTAATGTTTTTATTGGGAATTATGTAATATTTTTTGTGAAGTAGACTGGCTGGTATATTGGTATTCTCTGTTTTCTCTGTAGTTCAGGTGTAAAAAGTATTTATCATTAGCTGCTGTTCCTGGGAATTGTGTAAATTTATATTATATTTCAGGTGTTATATGTTATTTCAGGTTACCTGCTTCGGCGTGCAGTGTTCTAGTTGCAGTCTCTTGCCACAAGCCACCAAGCCAATGGCTAGGCTCAAGGTAAACTGGATTTCTTCAGACGCCCAGCCTATCTTTCAATTCTCAAATTGTAGTTGATTAGGAGTTAATAATCATGTACTAAAAGCTTGTGTGCATCGTGTTCTAATCTGGTAGGTATAGAAATGTCAAAATCTTGTATAATGCATCGTGTTGTAATCTGCTAGGCATAGAATGTCGCATCAAAGCATTAATGGTGTGTTTGGTTGGGTGGATTAAAAGTAGAATAGGTATATTTTTTTATCTTTTTAAGGGAGTAACTGTATTTGATATGAGAGATTGGAGGGATTGATTGTTTGTCTGTGTTTGGTAACATAGAAAAGTGAATGACCGAAAAAAATATAGATGTATAATTTATTATTATATTATATGTATATGTATATATAAAATTAATGCATATATAATGTGTAATAAATAAATAAGCATAAATTAAAAGATATATGAATGTGGATTCAGATCAAAAAAATCTGAATGTGGATTCAATTTGGGTGGGTTTCAGATCCCTCGAGTTTACGGTTGAACCCGAATTATTATTATATAAATACATTTTTTATAATTTATACTAGGGTAACCCTGATTTTGAGTCCGTATGCGCTTCCCTCGACCCTTCTTACTTTTGGTCTCTCAGTCTCACCCTCTCTATCCCTCACTCTCACTCAGTCTCAGTCTCCCTCGGTCTCTCACTTGCAGATCCCTCAGTCTCTCATCCTCTATCGCCTCTCTCAAATACTCTTAAATGGGCTTCTCACTTTCTAACGATTGAAAAAAGGTCTGTTGCATGGATCAACTGGTGTGACCAATGAGGTTGATGTAGAGAATCTTGGGTTTGAACAAAGAAAGGTTTTGATTGAGAGTCCGATTAAAGTAGCAGAAGAAGATAATGAACAGTTCTTGTTAAACCTCAGAGATCGAATTGATAGGTAAGTTTTCTTTTACTCTTTTCCTTTTGATTTTATATCTCAACTATTTTTGGATTGGGTTTGTCAATAATGGATTGTGTTCTTCCGTGGAATTTCTCACAGTTGGAATTGATTTGCCTGAAATTGAAGTTAGATTCGACCATCTAAATATTAAAGCAGAGGCTTATGTAGGAGGCAGAGCTCTACCAACTTCCTTAACATCTGTGTTGATATAGTTGAGGTAACAACAGACAAATATGCATGTGTAAATATGCATATGTGAGCTAAAGTTATTTACCTGAATTTAACTCGAGCCTGTTCGAATTAATTCGGGCAGTACTTGGGTTGAGTTGATCAACCCTTAGGATTAAGATTGAAGATTATATACCTAGGGTTTGACTGTTCAACCCATTAATGTTGCACCCTTATATAAATTGCTTTGAAGTTGATCTACATAATTAGTCTCTGTGTTGTTGTTCATTTTGATTGTCGGGAAGATTTGAGTGGAACGGGTGTCATTTCTTAATTTGAAAGGGCATTTTTGTTATACAGAGTTCTGCCGAATTGTATTTTGAACTTTGTTTTCGGCTGTTCCTTATGTATGTTTTTTCCCAAGATTTTCTCGGTTTATCAGAATGCCAGTTCTGACTGGCTAGCTTTTTGAAAAAAAGCTACTCTTCAAGCCTTGAACAATTGCCGATCGTCAACTTTTGGTATGCATTGCAACTCGTTTTTGGTAATTTAGGTAAGGGAAGGACAAACACTTGAACTAAGGGGCAACTCCTGGAAAGGGGTGGAAATCCATGTTCAAACGGAAATCCTAGTTGTCCTTTTCTTTTGGTTTTTGGTTTTTGGCAAAAAAAACTTGCTTCAAATTTTAAATTTATTGCCCACGTGAAAGAGTGGCGTAGATTTAATGTACTTTAGTTTTTTATGACTTAAATTGTGTGGTGGTGCAAAGAGAAGCGGAGCCAATGTAGATGGAAAATAGCGTGTTTTAGAAGTTGATTCTTTCTTATTGCAGTTTCACTCATGTTATTTTTGAGGAAGTTTTCAGTTACTTGCATATGGATCCATAAGCTCAAACAGGGAAGAGCGCTCAAGCAATTGTTTTGAGAGGAGGGTGGTTCGATTCCACCTGGATTCGCCTTTTTCAATTGTCATTCTGTGAATTCTTTGTTTTTTGTTTTCAATTTTTACAGACCCGTTATCTTTCTTATTGTTTTCCATTTCTGATGCATACATATTATATTTGGTAATTCAAACTCGGCCATTGCAGTAGAATGTAAAGCAAAACAAACAACTAAACAATTGGGTGGGGCAAAATTTTCAACAAATAATCAACAGTGGTGAACTGAAATTGAATGGATGAAATTACAAATTAGTTAAATTATTTTGGCAATGGAATCTTTTTAGGTTGTATACAAATATTTGTTATTATTATTAACATTCTATTCATCCTGTTGGTCACTTATTATAAATTTAAGCGAGGTTTATTATTTATTGCTTAGGTGTTTTATTGTTGAGTCATAACAAGTAAAATTGTAATGAAGTAAAATGTTAATTCAAAACATATGTAGCTTGAAGAGAGAGAAATTTGGGATCCAAAATGAAGTTTGAATTTGGATGAGCATTCATATGATACCGTAGACTTTTTGTAAGGATATCAATCTGGGAAAAACATTGATAAATTGTATTTCTGTTGTATAAATTATCATTTCAATGATTTTTTTATTTTTTTTTATCATTTCAATGATTAACTATTTATTTATAAATTATCATTTCCAATTCTTTTTTTGGGGATTTGACTCTTTAAGTTGTGGCTATGAAAATTCAAAAGTGGGAGAAGATTTGTTATTTGTTCCTAATGAGTTGGTAATCAAAATCATTTCATTTGGGATTATTTATTTTATCAAAACATTTGATTTTATATCCAATTTTTTTCACACTCCTGAAAGGTTGGTCATTCTTGTTCATTTGGGGATAAGTTCTAAATTAGGTCAAGCTACATTAGCCAACCGTTGAGTTCGAGGGACTAATCGATAAACGAATGTTAAATTTTTAACATTATTAATGTGTATAGAAATTACAAATCAGAAATAATGCTAATATGTTAAATATTTTTAACAATTTTAAATATTATTGTGTTGATTAATTGGTGTAGGTAACTTAATTGTTAAAACGATGAAAATATTAATAATTAAAAAAATATTGTGTTCATCTGATTTTCTATTTAATTGTTTTAGACGGAATTTAGGTAAGATTTAATTAGATAGAATAGGCCAAAAAAATTTTCTCTGCAAATTATCGATTAAATAAAATATTATAATTATTATCCGTAAGGTAGGAAAAACACTTCTAGTCGGTGCAACCTGATCAACTTATAGCAGAAAAAAAAAAAACTCAAAAACAATTTTGACGGGGGATATTTGGGGGCAAATTGACATAAAATAGAATTGTGCGTTGAAACACGTGGGAACCTTATCATGTCCATGAGCATTACGAGAACCTTCCACACAAACAATAATTGTCAATCACCGCCTCATTTACGTCAGTCATATCTACCGTCGAAGTTTATACTGATCAAGCGTTTGCAACCGTTGGATCAAATTAGATACTCAATAAATAACGGTTATAATTTTCTTTTAATTCTGTGCTCCATCCCTCTTTGCTTATTGTCACCGGTGGCCGGTTCTTGTATTTCTTAGATCTATTCCTTTATATTTCGTTCCTGCGAATTTTCTCACCGGATTCTGGTAGATCGTTAGGCGATCTATGTTTTGATCATGGCTTTGAGTAGTTTCGATGAGCAATTCGCCTCCGTTTGTTTCTCTCGTCGATGTGGTGCTTTATGTCTCGGTCATCGTTGTTTTTTTTGGCCGTTGCTTTAGATCGAGGGAGTTTGGTTAGAGATGACGAATAGATTGATTTGATGAATCAATTTAGTATTGATCTGTTTTGTTTGAGCATGTTCTTGGAATTTTACTGTTTCTCTTGATTATTGAGTCTGTTGGATTAATTTGACTGTTGAATGCCTATAGATCGATGGAGTTCGGCTATAGATGACAGGAGGTCGTCGTATCAGTACAGGTTTGGTACAGATCTGTTTTGTTTGATCATGTTCTTGGAGTTTGTCTGTTTCTCTTTATTCTTGAGTCTGGTGGATTGTATTGATCAATTGAAGGACCCCCCCCTGGTCTGCTGTTCGATCTTTTCTTTCTTGGATGCTAGACCATGTGATCTGTCAAGGTTCGTAGGGGTGTGCGACTTTATGTTCTAGCTGTTTTATATTCATCTACTTTTTCTTTCACTGATCTACTCATTTTTAATAATTTTGTGTTTATGCAGGTCTTGAAGCCATAGAAAGGAGCCATTTGACGCTCTGTGGCCATTTACCGTAGAATGTTCGTTTGAACGGAGATCACGATCAAGATTTGAGCGGCTTTGTTTGGTTCTAGCCTTTTATGAAGGCGCTGAGGCTTGAAGAAGATTTTGATCAAGGATTGGCTATGAAGGCGATGCAAGGTTTTTGTGTGGTGATAATAGTAATGACGGCTGAATTAGTTGGTCAGTGTTATATGCTTTATCATGTGTAGTGCGGACGAGAGGACTGAGAGCATCGCGAGGTATATATGTTCCTTGTTCTTGTTAACCGACCTTTGCCATGTCAGGTGCGCTTGCATGGCAGGTCAAAAATACCCTAATAAAATTTTCTCTCTTGTGTTCTGAAGGGAGATGGTACGGGGGTTTGTCCGGCTCTCCCTTCCTGTGCCTTTTTTTTTTCTTTTTTTTCTTTTTTTTCTCCAACCTAACTGTCCAACCCGTTTCAACTTGTTGGGCCTTTTATATGCCTCCCGAATGGTTATGGCCGGTGGTTATTTGCATGCCATACGTATTCAAGGCAAATTAGACCTCCAGTTGCCTATTCTTGATGATGGTGATTAAGCCAGCAAACACAAGTTTCGGGCTCAATGCATCACACGGTGTAAAAAGGTACAAATAGCGATGCCCTTCCAGTATTGTTAAATGTTCATTATTCTTACAATTGCATAGTATCGCCAGAATCATAGCTTGAGTAATTGTTGGAAGTTTATTATCTCCATAACTATATCTTACATCTTTATACCCAAAAAACTGAACTACACAAGCACGCAATTATTTATGTGAATGAGCATATTTGTATTGGATGGAACTTTTAGATAGTACATTCTTCGGCTACTAAAAATCATAGTTTCTGAATGCAATAATAGCGGCAATTGCTTACAGAAGTTGCATCTCTCTCTCTCTCTCTCTCTCAAGCCATACGGAGTTTTTGTGCATTATTCACTAAATTCATTTCTTATTATTCTGTGAAAGGTGGTTATAATATTGTCTATTGTTCACTTTGTGATGACGAGGAAATACCCTACAATGTACAAGGAATAATGTGATTGTGCTGTATTGTTTCCTTGGTTGTATGTAATACCTCTTATTATTTTCAACCCTTTTCTTTTGGGGATTATGGTGGATTTGAGGAGTCTTAAGAGAGACCAAGAACGGTTTAGTCTTTTAAAGGATCATGCAAAGAATTCAAAGCTTTTTAAACATGCTGTGTCTTAGGCAGTGTACCGGCTGCTGGATCAAATGTCTTCTGGCCGATCTGGTCTTGGGCTGCAAAAGATGAAATGTTTGTGGATGTTTTTTACTCGTGGCAAATGAATGTGTTTTGACCCGATGGGATTTGTAACGTTCCTCTTGCCTCATTTTTTAGCATCTTATGTTCCCACATCTCTCTGGTTGGATACTTGCTCAGTTATTTGGCTGAGATGAAACCAGTTATTTTATTATTTTTCCTACTTTCCTTCTTGGAAGAATCGTTTCAGTGCCAAGGTCTTTTGATAGAATCACTACAAGTTGAAATGTGAAGTGGCATTGGTGTGGCCGAGGTTGATCTTGTGATTAGACTTTATTTCTGGTGCTGGGTGTTGCCACCAATCTGTCTAGCAGTGAGACTGAATCAAGGAACAAATTGTTGTCATTAATGTTCTTGTTTGGAAATATGTAATATTTTTTTTGTCGGTATTCTATGTCATTTGTAGTTCAGGTGGGAGTATTTAAGTATTTATAATTAGCTGCTGTCCTTGGGAATAATGTAAATTTTATTTCGGAAGTGTTCTGGCTTCATCATGCCGTCTCTGGCTTTTTATCGTTCAGGTATTTTTCATTAGATGGAGGTGGTTTTACCTACTTCAGCGTGCAGTGTTCTATTTGCAGTCTCTTGCCCCAAGCCACTAAGCCATCGATTAGGCGCGAGGTAAACTGTATTTCTTGAGGCTTCCAGCCAATGTTACAATTCTCAAATTTCAGTTAAGTAGAGAGTTAATACCCACATACGAAAATACGGTTTTTCGTATGTCTTCTAATGTGGTGGTTTTTGAAATGTCTGACATCTAGTAACTCGAGTTCTTTCAACCTGTACCTAAAACAAGTTTCAGCTAGCAAGCCTCTGGCCGTTTCAGTTTTGTTAGTTTTTTTGTAGTCATTATCGTTCAATTGGTGAAATAACATAAAATGATTAAATAACTAGACTTTTCACCGTGTTGTTTTTTTTGATTTATTCTTCTTCCTATTATTTAAGATTAAATTTCCTTATTGCACTATATGGACTGTTTTAATGACATTCAAGGCGACTTTTGTGGGAAATACCTGCATTTTGAGTATTCTGTAAGTAGTAGTTCTTCTGAGAAATCGAAGAAATATGCAAAATACTTGCCAAAATTTGTTGGATAAACCAATAGAATTCTGCTATTTAATTTTAAGTGTGTAAAGAGTGATATTCAACCTGTGCCAGCCTAACTGCTGATTGTTTTCCTTTGGCCCATGCCTTTTTTTTTTTTATCATGTTGGAGCCTGGACGGTCGCTTATGACTCGTCAAAAGTTGAAATTTTGTGAGGATATACCTGAAATGCGTAGGAAAAAAGAAAAAGAAATATTAAAATCCTGCTATTGTAACTCAGATTCTGGCACTTTGTAACGGTTTACATATGCGTGGCTTGATAAAACAATTCCTTTGAAGCTGATTTACTTAATAATTGTCTCCGCGTTGTTGCCCATGTTGATTATATGGAAGATTTAGAGTGAAACAATTGAGCCAAAAAATTGCTTTGAACGTATTTGATTGGGGAAGATTTTTTTAGCTGGTAGGTTGGTCTCTTTCCTTTTGGGGGGGGGGGGGGGGGGGTGTTTATTTTTTTCAAAAAAAGATTTGATTTCAAATCTCAAATGTATTGCTCAGGTGAAAGTACGGCCTGGATTTAATTTAGTCTTTTTAATTTTTTGATTAAAATTGTGTGGGTGGTGCTATTATTATTTTTTTAAATAGGCATGTTTTAGTAGTTGAATCTTTCTTCTTTGACATTTCGCAACTACCCCCCGGCCTATTGTAGTTGGATGTTCAAGTCTATGGGCAAGCAGGTTCTGGTATACTGTTTGCGCTATGGTCCTTTTTGATTAAGTAGTAATTTACGAGTAATGTGGATCCATAAGCTCAAACAAGGAAGAGCGCTCAAACAAAACAATTGTTTGAGAGGTTGGTGGTTCGATTCCACCTGGATTCTTCTGTTTTTCTTTTTTATTTTGTCGAAACTCTTTTTTAAGTTACTTTTCAAGTTTTACTGACTCATTATCTTTCTTATTTTCCATTCCTGGTGCATATTATATTTGGTAATTCTAACGCATAGCCGTTGGATTATTTGGGCGATGGAATCTTTTTTGGTTATCTACAAATATTTGTTAATCACTTACTATAAATTTAAGTGACGTTTATATATATATATAAATAAATAAATATAAATAATTGATTAGGTGTTTTATTGAGTGAAAATGTGATTTTTTACCCTATCAAATTGTCAGATTTCTAAATTCTTGTAGGCCTCCCTTGGAATTCCTTTTTGAGTCTGGTGAATAATTTCTATAGATTCTGGCTATGAACCTTTAGATGTGTGGGTTTCATTGAAGAAAATTACTAGAATTCATTGATCTGAGAGTCTCTACTGATTTGGGTTGTTCGAGGGTAATTAGTGAGAGCAGAACAACCAGTCGTGCATATAGTGGACGAGTGTTCCCGACATTTGAGTGTAGCTGACCATTTGAGTAGAGGCAATCACAACATTTCTAACTCTGCCATCAAACAACACATTGTGTTTCTCTGCACCTTTCCAAGAGCAACTTGATCAAATTTTCTTCTGAAAGCCCCCTCACGATTCGGTTTAACTGTGGCTTCTTTTGTAAATTTTTTATTTCCTTCCACTAAAGGCTTCTTCTCTTCCTGATAAGCCACTCTAATAAGCAGGAAAAGGGTTGGAATCTGTACATTTGTTGCCAACTAGGGGACCATCCCTCCGAGTGTTGGATATTTTTCCTGTGTGAGTATACATTTTAAGTAAAGCCCCCGAGGTTTTTGTGATAGCTGGTAGGAAGATATGGGCCTATCTTGTTACTTCACCTTCTAATCTGTTCATGCTACATACATGATGACCGGATTTTGGATTTGGGTTAGAATGTGGCTTTTTAACTGAAAGTCCCATTTTCTATTGTTATCTCTTTGTATTTTGGCCAGTGGGATAGCTAGAATGATTTTCTTTTTTCGTTTTTTTTTTTAAATTTAACGGTTTGGTACGTTCGGATCAGCTTATGGGGCCTTTCACTAATTCTCTTCCTGATTTCATCAAAAATAGGTCATCTACACCTGAACTAAGGTATTTATGAGAGAAATTTTTGAAGGTTTGATCTCAAAAGATTGTTAAAATTCAAATTCTAAATGTCTAGGTTTATAGTCTCGTTCTTATTACTACTGAAGCTATTTTGGATTAATGACTACTTTTTCATGTGCAGTTGGAAGAAAGGCAAAGGAGGGCACACACCACATCAACCAACTCAAGCACCCTTATTCGAGGAGAGGGATCCACAAAGTCAAACCATCGAGACAATTGGTTGGATGGTTTGACTTTGTGGGTCCCTCTCCTCCAATAAGATGCTTGAGTTGTTTGATGCGGTGTGTTGTGTGTGTGTGAGTTTCTTTGCGTGCTTGACCCAAAAAAAAAAGAAAGTGAATTTCTGTCCCACATCGGTTGCTGAGCACTAAGGGAGTGAGTTTATCTGGCCTGCTCTGTCTTACTCCTGTCAGCAATTGCCTGGATGGTTTGCCTTTATGGGTCCCTCTCTTTCAATAAGGTGCTTGAACTTCTTGATGTAGTGAGGGCATTGAAACTATAGGTTTTATCAGTACTCTTCCGGCCTGTGTGACTAGTGGTTCTACTTTCAGCCTTGAATCTTTCTAATCACTCTCTGTAGGACATAATCTAAAGCATATTTCTTTTGGAAAAATGGGTGGAAAGAGGGTGTCGGAATGATTCAAGGGGAATTTGAGAGGAATATGTATCAAAATGATTTTTTTCCAAACAACGTTGCAAATCTGCATAACTCCAAAATTGATCAATTGAACATTCTCGTTTGGAATCAAATCCGCGCGTTGTTGGAATAGGTCATCGTCCCTCTTAATCTAGACATCTAAAATTTAAATTTGGATAATCTTTTTTTGGTATGGATAATCTATTTTTAACAAAATTAAAAAATAAATTAGTTAAAATGTACGTAAGTTAATCTAAACAATCTCAATTATTAAACCAAATAATAATAATAATAATAATAATTATCGCACTTCTGAAATATGACGTCTGTTGTCGTCAAGGCTCAACTGTGGAGTCACTTTCTCGATGCGAAGTTAATGATTTACTTCACTTACCCAATATTTGTAATAATAGATCGCAGCATACCGTATATTGATAGGAGATCGATTTATATATTATAGTATTTTACTTGAATTCATAATAGATATTAAAATTATGAAAAAAAATTCAGTCACACTCTTTCTAATTTATCATATTTTTAAAGATACCTCTTTATCATCCAAAACATTAAATGACATCTCTTTTAGTTTATATTTAAATATTACTGACACAGCCTGCATTTAAATCACCATTTTTAATTTAAAAAATTCATCAAAAATATCAAAATTACTCTTATATAAACTCCAAACAATCTTTTTACATAAAATTCAAGTCGATTAAAATTTATTTTTTACATATTAAAATTCAATTTGAACTGATTAAATTTATTTTTTTACTTATTAAAATTCAAATCGATTTGAATGCAACCTGAATTATTAGCCTATGTTTCTCCGATTTTTTACATAACACAATCTCTAGGGTATCTCTTGTCTAGACTTTTGTTCCTTCTATCACATCACTTTATAGTAGGGTTGTTAAACAAATCAAACTTGAACATTTTTTTAGGCTCGTTTATGTGTAAATAGTCGAACTATTAGGTTTGAATTCAGCTCGATTAACACTCCTATTTTGTAGTGTGGTATTGTGCTGATAAGATATACCCGAAAAAAGTTTAATAAATACGCACTTTTCGATGGTGATATCGTCAAAGTAGAAGGGGTCTTATTGAAGTTATACTTATCTAAAGAGGTGTATTCTAGTTAAGGCATTTAATCTGACAGAGGGTGTCAGTGAAAATATAAAAAATATAAAAAATATCTTTAAAAATATAATAAATTAAAATGGATGTGATTGAAATTTTTTCTTAAAATAATCTTCAACCATGAATAGTGCTCATGTAAAAGATTTTAAGAGTACAGGACAAAGGAATTGGTGGAATCTGATGCACTCGCATATCAATTCGCCCTCTTGACGCGAAATTCCAACGACACTCGTAACATTGTTAGCATATTTTCTGACGTTCTTCTTTGCGTAATGCGCGGTGGGGCCAGCTTGGGCCTTTCATTTCTTTAGTAAATGTGCCCTTTGTTTTTTTCTTCTTCCTTTCCCACCTTGTCTTGTATCCTATTTTCTCCACTCACCGACAACTACCACCCAAAGTCTCCAACAATGTCCTCGTAATTGCCTAACATAAGATCATGATTGTGGTTAAGAGTAAGAGTAGTCTATTGGATGATAATCCTTTATTTTCCTTTCTCGGTTGCCGATACGGCTACAAGATCGTATTACCTAATTATAATTCAAATGTTAAATATACATAAATCACTCTTAGTTATGTGTATCAACTAAATTAGTATTTTTATTGCGACTACAAAGATACAAACTTAAGACTAGAGATGACAGTGAATTGGGGTAGGGGATAGTATTCATTTTTGTACTCGCTTAAAACAATTCGTCCACCCCCATTAACAAGAAAAAATTTAATTTGCATCTCCACCCCACGGGTAAAATTTGATCTCGATCTTTGTTTCTTCTGTCGTCCTCATCCATAACAATTAATTTCTATGATCTTAAGAAATAAAATTAAAAAAAAAAAACTAAAACCTCACAATGGACTTGCAAAAATGATAAAAACTCATTATATAATCAATGGATTAAACATAAACACTCACAAAAATAATATGTAAAACAGGGCGAGAATGAAGTTCAATCCATCATTACATTCATTCTCGCACGGGTTTATACGGATATTTTCGTATATGTCCACAGTTTAATACGTGACGGATTAGACAAATACCTGTATACGTTTATCTCTAATTCAAACAGACGAATTTAGATAAATACCTGTTTTTTTTTTCAATCTACTGTTATCCCTAGTCAACACATTAAGATTTACACCTCTCCATTGGTTGGATTTGAGGTCTATTGTATAAAATTCTTCAAAATATTAGTAGACAAAATAGTGGCTACTAGATAACTGTATCATCAAAAGAACAATTGTTTTAGTTTGATGCTTGAGTGTGAGGCATTGTCCTGTACCTTTTGTGGCATATGGATGCTGTTTTTTTTAATTTATGCCACTTAGCTGTCCAGTCCTTGTTTAATATATTTTTTTATTAAAGTGATAAATGAATAAAAAAACATAAATAAATGGATAAATAAATGTAAAGCATGGTGGAGATTTTATTTCCTTTTCCTTTCTAGAAGGGCATACAGTGTAAGAAAAGAAGGGTGTGAGTGGAAGCACCATGAATTGACTTTGTGACTCACACGGAAAGCTTTTTATGTAGAGAAAGTGATTACCACTCAGCACTCTCGAGGTGGAGGTGGAGGTGGAGGCCTCAACTTGACCATCAATTCTACACAGATTTTAATTTTACTTTTCAGATTCCTTTACTAAAGCTCAACAATTTGAAGGCACAAAATCTTCAGGTTTATTTATTTATTATAAAATATTTAAATTTATGTCGATTATGTTCTTAAACTTTTCAGTTATTATAATGACTTGACTTGGGTTAGAACGTGTCTATGGGAAACAAAGATGGCTATTTCTTAGGAGGAGTAATAAGTTCAACAATTTGAGGGCACAAAATCTTGAGGTTTTTTTTTTATGAGCAATGTTATAGGGATTTTATTTGGGAACCTACTTTGGGGATCTAATGATGTTGCTTCAATGTAACCATTGGATTAGTTGTGAGTTCTAATGTTAAATGGAGTCTACAACTATCTAATGGTTGTATTGAATTAGGTCCCTAGATTAGGTCCAAATAACATTTTTTTTTTATTATAGGGTATTTATATTTATGCCGATTATGCTGTCGAACTCGGCAACTATCTTTTTTTGGTGCAACACGAGAACTTTTCAGGAGGTCATCCATCCTAGTACTACTCGTCCAAACACGCTTAACTACGGAGTTCTGATGAGATCCAGTGCATTAGTGCTAGTAAGATAATGACTTGAGTTAAGTCAGTGTCTGTCTATGAAACTCAAACGTTGAACCAAGTTAAAAAAAACTTGTTGAGATTTCGTTGATGGAATCCCACTCATAATGCAATCTATACGAGGGGAATATATAATCATTTATTAATAAGTACATTTATAATACATTGAATCTCATTTAATTATAGAAAGAGTAATTTTTCCTCACGTAAAAATGGAAAAACATAATTGATAGTTTGGACTGATCAACAAATAGTGTTGGTCACAATTATTTGTAAGAAAGTATGTTAGAATGATCCAATCCATGTCTTATTTAACAATTAGCTGGTACTATCGCAATATATGTCTTATTTAATAAAATTAGATACAATCTTTTTTAGATCACCAACAAATAGAACATTTTATTTATTCAAAAAGAAGTAAGGAAGGATAATTGGTATCATCAAACAAAATTATAAAAAAATAAATGTTAGAATGAAGATACCAATCTTTTCATTTCCATCAATAAAAAGACTTAATAACATCCCAAAATTTGTTTATTCAAAAAAATAAAAATGATATTGTTTGATCCAAGTGTCACTGTAATTAATTTTTTTATCTGTCTTGTCAAAAGTAGATCATCCACGTCAAAACTAATATATTCATGAGTGATATCAAAATTCAAATCTAAATCATTTACATTTATAACTAGTTTTTATTACCAATTAAGCGTTTTTCATGTCTCATTTAACAATTGGATAAAATCTTTTCAGATCGATCATCAACAAATGGACTTAGCAACATCTCAAATTTTATTTATTGAAAAAAAAAGGAAAAAAGAAATAAGCAGAGTCCATTTTTTTGCTGGGAACTCGCCACGTGGCAGTTCAAAAGAGATATTTAAGTCGTTCAGGCTGTTAGCGAGTTCAGCGTTACAGAGGGGGGGACAAAGTGATAAAACTCACAGATATCACGTGGTGAGATCTTGACTTTTGCTACGTTTTGTGTTCAATTCAATCGTGAGAGGCCCAGGGTTGGTCTGTGATGCCCCCAAAGGATAGTCTCCTGTAGCCTTAGAAAATTCAATATAACTAAAAAGCGTTGAACCAGTGTCCTTTGTTCACATATCTAGCTCTACAAAGGAGCAGTCTTTGTTGTGTGTTCCAACTGGTTTACCAGCGTAGAAAAATTTTCATGACTTGAAGAATAAAGAGGGGCCACACCCATCTCTCTCTCTCTCTCTCTGGGTTTTCTTTCTCTCTCTCTCCTCCTTTGCCAGGTATGGTTCACTGATAAAGATTCCCATTTTCTCTTTCAGTCTTTGGGTCGATTTCTGAATGTGTAACGCATATATAGCTATGTACGTACTTGTTTATTTCGTTATTGCTTTTTTTGGTTGCTGGGGAAATGTGGGAAAATTATCCCCAAGTTTGCTTAACTTTGTCCGTTACGCCTAAGAACTGTGGGACTTTGTCAGGGTTGATTCGTAATTCCTGAAGATATCTTTAATGAACAAAAACAGGGAAAGAATAGAGTCATCGTTTTTTGTAAGATTGCCACTTTCAATTTTCTTTGTTCTTTTTCTTCCTTCCTCTGTTTTCCTAATACACGAAGAGGATTTTTTTTTTTTTATATATATATTTTCATTTATTTTTTTGATAATGAAGTTAGGTTTTTGCGAGTAGTCTTGAGTCCAAACACCCAGTTCCTGCGATTCTATGTTTTTATTTATAATTTCGCAACACGGGGGATTTTCTGCTCCAAGAAAAAAGAAGAGAATTTGGGGGTCCCTCCAGATGACTGGGCGTTCGTTTCTGATAGAAAATAAACTACTAATTTATCTGCTATAGTTTTTTTTTTTTTTTCTCAGGCCTGGAAGTTCGGTTTGGTAATCAGAATTCATATTTTAGGACCTACATTACTTGGGTCCACTATGAGATGACCCTGTTAGCTCACCATCTTAATTTGACAGATTTACCGCGTTTTGACACGCATAATGCATGGTTATGTTTCGGATTATTCAAATCACAAATATCCTTTTTTAAAGGATTAGCCGTTTGTAAATTTAGGATCTTATTGGTAATTTGAAGAGTAGTTTTCTCCTCAATGAATTGTGGATTCGGTGAGTTTGTATGTTTGCTTAATGAAATGAAGCAAATTAACCAAGAAGATATTGCTGTTCCCTCATTTAAACTGAGCATTGCCAAGGATTTAACTGCCAAATTTTTTAACAGCCTTAATTTTGATCAGCTCAAATGTCGAATGCCTTTCCATTACTTTCATGAGGTTTTACTTGGGTCGCAATCAACAAGACCATTCAACTAAACTTTGCTTTCGTGCTAGTACTTGTCCGCCATGAATCTAGTTTCTGTCAGTATGACGAAATATTTGGATTCTGAGTCCAATCCATTAGTTATCCAGGCTGCCTCAGTCACAGCCATGCAGGGTGACCTGCTACATGAGATAGACTTCTAAACTATAAATTTCTGTGTCCTTTTGATAGTGCATTTTCTAGACTGTTGAGGTAGAGAGGAAGCCACACCTTACAGTAATAGCCTCTTTCATTGGCACATATGTCGGGTGTCTAGGAAGTCTGTTCCTTGTTAAAACTTTACCTGGTTGCTTATGGATTGATCTGTTCTGTTGACATTTTCCTTCCTGCTAGCTCAGAGCACAATATTTTTTTGGGATTCAGTGCACTATGCAATCATGTATGATTATGTATCTGTCTGGGCAGCATGAAAAAAATGGTTTTTTTGCTTTCTTTTTTTTTTTCTGTACATTTAGTTTAATTAGAGATCATTTGACTGATATTGTATGAGGTTTGCTGTCATAGGTTGCACTCAGTTGGCAGACAGTGGCGATGGCCATTGCCATGTTTCGTCGCAGGAGTAACAGTCATCAAGGTCGAGAGAGTGATGAGGTGCAGCATGAGTCTAAGGTAATGAGTGGTTGGAAAATTCAGTGTTGGGGCCACATTGAATCGCCATATCTGACTGCATGTTTGCTGGTTGATTTGAGAAAATCACTGACATTCAAGCATATATAATAGCATTAATTGGGTTTTAATTTCATATGCGAATTTGTCAATGCCTTCTGCCCAAATGCTCATTGGTAACCCAGTGGGAGATTCACATCATGAACTCAAATTTGCTCTAAATGCAGGTCAATGAGTTCAAGGCTACTATTGGACCGCTATCAGACCGCAGCTTACAGTATTGCACAGATGCGTGCTTGAAGAGATATTTGGAAGCACGGAACTGGAATGTGGACAAATCAACGAAAATGTTGGAAGAGACACTGAAGTGGAGGTCAACCTATAAACCTGAAGAAATTCGCTGGGTAAGTGGAAAAGTTTCCTGCGTGTTTATGTTTGCAATAGTGAATGATTGTTGTTGCGATTACCAGGATTAATATGCATCCCTATGGAGATGCATGTGATTTAGAAAATGTTATCTAAGAAGTAGTCTACATGATGTATGCCAAATTATTACCGATGTATGGAGAAGGAGGCAGCATATTATTTCCAAATGGTATCACATTGTAAACCGAAAGTTGCCATAGTATCTACTAACGTTTCTTTTCTAGTCTTTATATATTTTGATTCTTTTATTATAGAATTCTTTGAGGCTGGTTTTTCAGGACTTGCACTGACTTATAACTTGTTAGAATGAAGTCGCAGTTGAAGGCGAGACTGGCAAGGCATTTGTAGCAAATTTTCGTGACCGCAATGGGAGGCCTGTTCTTATACTGAGGCCAGCACTACAGGTAATAATACATTTAGATTATAATTAGTGCTGTGTTCTATAGATTTGTTTTGGTTAACGATAAAAATTTTTTTTTGTTCTAATAAGATGATTTGATTTTAATGTTGCTGTACATGTTTCAGAATACAACATGCATAGATGACCAGATGCGACATCTAGTGTACCTCCTAGAGAATGCAATCCTCAACCTTCCAGAAGGTCAAGAACAAATGTCATGGTTGATAGACTTCACTGGGTGGTCTTTGAGCAACAGCGTGCCTGTCAAAGCTGCTCGTGACACTATCAATATACTACAAAACCACTATCCTGAGAGACTAGCTATAGCATTTCTATACAGTCCTCCGAGAATTTTTGAAGGTTTTTGGAAGGTTTGCCTCTTAACGTCCTTGGCTCCATGATGGTTATTTGATAAGTAGCCCCCGTATATTCTTTACGCTGTTCATCGTCATTGAATAATGCCCATCATTTTTTTCTAGTTTGTGGAGGTGTTTGTACCATTAAGATGCCTGTATTGGTGTTTCACCACCAATTACATCTTTTGCATGTGTGACATACTTTTCCTGTCCAAGTGTGATGAGTTCTTGGTGAACGACCTTCACATATACAAATTGGATGAAAAAGATAAGGTTGTAAAAAACTATTTCATGCGCATCAAAAAAATTTCTAGTGCTTCTGTTGGAGAGAGCAGTGTGTATGTACACTTGAAATTTGTGAAATTGTTAGTTGTAAGTTACCATTTATATTGGCATCTCTCTCCTCGAGACCAAAAAGAAAGATAATCATCTTGGCAACGACTACTGTTCTTCAACATATGTTTTGCTTCCGTGTTTGCAGATTGTTAAATACTTCTTGGACCAGAAAACATTCCAGAAAGTGAAATTCGTGTACCCGAAGAATAAGGATAGCGTGGAACTGATGAGGTCATATTTTGACGTGGATAATCTTCCTGGTGAGTTTGGAGGAAAAGCCACATTGAATTACGACCACGAGGAGTTCTCTAGGTTAATGGCTGAGGATGATGTGAAAGCTGCTAAGTTGTGGGGATTTGACGACAAGCACCACTCTGGCGCTAATGGGTATTCTGGAGCTGAGGTTGCTGCAGAGCCTGAGGTCCTTGCTGCAGTGGCCAGCTGAACCGCTTCTCTGACTTGTAAAATTCAAACTTCATAACTCAAAAGGAGACCAATCACTTCACTTCTATATGTAGGCTTGATGCCTTAATTGAGACTATCACCTATTTCCCTAACGCTGCTTGTGGCCTACAGGTGATATTACTGCTGAGAAAACATTCGCTTTTGCTCACCTATGAATCTGATGTTAGGTCTCTCTCTCTCTCCCACCGTGTGTGCGTGTGTGCGAGTGAGTGACTGCAGCCATATGCGGAAGGCACCGAACTTTTTTCGTTCAGATGAGTTACACCCAGAAGCTTACTGGTTAATTCAAAAGATCCAAGAATGACTTCTTGCCCAGGAAACAAATTCAAGGGTCAACTGTACCAATTCAACTGTGTAAAGAAAGAAACTGTAATTCAGGTGGTTTGTTATACAGCTTACACCATCATAGATAGCTAAATACAGCTTAAAAAAATTCACCAACTGATTACCAAACCCACTTATTCAAATTCCTTTGTTGAAACACGTCAAGACATAACCCAAATGATTCCCAATATTTTATGGCTTCCAAAAACACAGAATTATTTACAGTGTGATACAAACTTTAGCTACAAATAATGTCCATTTCAAGGCGTATCTGATTCTGTTCCTTCCAATTTAGCAGAACCCCCCACACCTATCACACTCTTCTTAACAAAATCACACTGACAAGTCAATATGAAAACGGAAGAACTTGCAACCTAGTAAAATTTGCAGAGATATCTCACAAGCAAGACAGACTGTTAGTCTTTGGACTCAAGAGAGTAGAGTAAAACAATGTCCAGTGAATAAGAGGAATCAGGCAAGCCGTCTTTTAAAGTTTCGGGTGGTGGCTTGGTATGTTCGGACTAGTAGACCAACTCCTATTCCGACTCCCAGGCAAATGCCAAGGCCTATTCCAACACCAACCCTCACACCAGCATTGAACCAAGAGAGTTCCCCATCTTCACCTTCTATGTATTCTGTTCGTCCCCAGTACATGTTGTAGTCTTGCTCGCTTTCTGGTTTGTAATTGCTGTATTCTGCTACCTGCAAAATAATTGACAACAAAAATCGTTTCTGAGGAAAACATACTCTACTTTCCTCTCGGCACACAGAATTTCAAAATTCAATAGTCTTGGAGACCATTTAAAACAACCCAGAAAGCTTAAGAGTTCTTGAAATCATATCAGATTGCATTCTTACAATAATTGCTCCGGCAATTTTCAAACATATTTAATGGTGCACTAGCAAATTAGTGAGAGTATTTATTAGGGTAAAAGCTATGTAAAAGATCATGAAGTAGGTAATGGCATGTGGTAATCCTTAACACCTCAAGGAGATTCATACTTGATTTATATCTTCCTTTTTGCACTTTTTTCATTGCTTAATAATCTATGGCAGACACCCAAAGCGCAATGACAAAAATACAATTGTTTGAGGACCATGGCCAAAAGCATACCTACCTAGTGGTTAACCAATCACCAGTCATGCTAGCTTTCTATGCTAAACACGACAAAGACATATATACCCGGATTATCTCCTCGCTCACTCTAATAAAAAACACCCTATTTATGAAAACAACAGTGAAAGATCACATATATAAGATGTAGGAACTCATTATTCTCAAGAAGAATTCCAAGTGTACAATCGTTCCGAGTTACAAAGATTTACGGATTTTGACTTCATAAAACAAAAAATAAAGGTTAAAGGGAATAATAAGTTCACAGCCAGCAGAAGGTAAACATCTAGAACCGGTGAAAAGATCTCAACTACTATTTATCACAGCACTCCACCATTATTCATAAATGGTAAATATTCTCATTGTCTAGCAAAATCAATTTCACAAATTAAGGCTCGTGTTATTTAACTCAACTTATGAGAGATGAGTAAGGATAAGAACATGCAACAAAGACTGCACATAATATGGTTTATTAAGAAAGTAAATTGCACTGGAGCATGAAACACTAGGTCCACGAGACCCCGAAGGAAAGCACAGAAATCTGAAATTTAATTGTTAATTCATATAAGATCCCTAGGGGGGGTATAGGAAGCTCTTACTATTTTCATCATCTATTCATTGTGCATTGATAGCATTGCTCTTACCGCCAAACATTTCAGACAAAGTGTTAGGAGAAGGTGGTCTATCCATTTTCTCTTAGTTTATGCTAGTACTATAAAAGGAAGCTGAGTGCAAATCCACATGAAAGAGATACAAAAGTAGCCAATTGATTACCAGTTAAGTATTGAATACAAAAAGAAGCCAACAACTTCATAAAACCAACTAATTTAACCTCAAGAACAGACGCTATTGAACCATATAAACCTAAAAAACAATCCGATAAGGCCTCAGAAGAAAATGGACCCCACAAGTGAAGATCACCAAACACATGGCCTAGTGGGGAGGCCCATGCAAGTCAGGTTCCTGGCACAAATATGGACAATAGAACAGAAACAAAAGGGTAATTCATAACTGAGTACTTAGTATTCAGTCCCTTAAAACTACGTGCCCTGCCCTGCCCATACCAGCATGACATTCACAGGATAAGATTCTGTTTGCCTGTTGAAGAATAAAACCATAAAAGAAATGGGCTTTTGTTGCACCAAGACAAATGTTTCAAGGGAGGAAACATGAATCTTGGAACATACACCATATCTTATTCTTGGGGTACCCTGACTTGGTCCTGCCTCATTTTTTTTAGCTTATAAAGACATTAATATGAAAAATACAACAGACAGAATGTACATTGGTCAAAGAAATTAATGATGTACAATGTTCTATTTAAGGGGATGCATGCATTTCAATTGGAAATGACTATGAATACATTTGGTCACAGGACCCACGTGAGATCTATCCATGGATGGTCCCGAGTCTTCCATTTGTGCCACTAATTTTGTTTTATAATACATGAAATTCATAGCAAAAGGTTCTAAATACTATGTTTATTGCAATATATAACCCACATGAGATCAATCCTTCAATGGTCTGTGTTTCCAATTTGTACCACCAATTTTGCGATATAAAATAAACAAACTTCATAGCATAAGGTTCTAAATACTCGGCAGGATAATTGAGAATAAAGGAATAATCAACAAAAAAAAAGTTCCAGAACTAGAATAGTTCCCAGTATATTATTACCAGCAGATCAAGTCCTGATGCAGCATCTTTCTGTGATTGGGTTGCTTCATACTCTGGAATGGAATCTAACATCCCCTTCCTGTTGTGCTTCTTTCGGAAACAAAGCTGCAGACTCTTGGTCAAGATGATTGGCGTCCCAGAAAAACAACCCGCAACATAAACTTCTATGGTTGGTGGTGACGATGATTCAGGACCCACAATTTGTTTTCCCTTCAAAAAACCAGTGCCAGCACTCATCACTGGCTCACAATTCATGCTCCATTTCTTGGTATTTTTTTTCGATTCCCCTATGAAACCATTACTGTTGGTAATCTCGAGAATCCCAGAAAGAACTAGATCCTGTTTATGAAAAACCTCAAATTTCACATTGCCCCTCAACCTTATACTATCTGTGCTCACAAACGTAGCTTCCTCGGATTTCTTATCAACCCGATCCCTCCGAAGAAGGCAAGAGACTCCTTCAGAGTAAATGTTACATCTTGCACCATTCACTTCTAGGAGGGTGTCAGGGTTCAAGGGGATATGGTTTAGAGAAAGACTCTCGGGGGTCGAATCATCAACCATGAAATTGCTGATTCTAACATAGAACACTCTAATATCAAACCAAGACAGTAACAAATTGGTGCAGGGTTGGTACGAGGTGTAACGCACAATCTGGAGTCCTCTGTCGCCTGGTTTATCATTGTTTGATGCTTCATCATAAGAATTCTCCATCTTTTAGGAGCTTAATAATCCTCACTGAAATCCTTCATTATCATTGGAGTAAATCAGATAGGCAGAGAACTTTGTTTCAAGACCAACATTTAGTGTTTGTTTACTATCAGAAAATCATGATCAGTAAGCTATTTAACCAAAAAGAAACACTTAGCCCCATAAATGCATAGATTACTGTATTCAATTTTTCTTTCTTTTTTTCTCAGATAGCTGGGAATGGAAAGCAATTAAATAGAAAACCTACGAACCCGGATGATCAAACCCGTGATTAAAACTATATCAGCAAAAGAAAAAAAAGAATATGAAATTATCCACGTAATAAAGAAACCCTGATTTTAGAAACAGAATCCTTGATGCAAGGAAAAGGGAAGAAAGAATCATAACCGAAATAGCATATATGATGTAATTGTACAATCTGCTTTGACTAAGTAATTGAAAGTGAAGAATAAACACTTCCAATTTAGACAAGTCAATACCCAAAAAGTTGGAGAGAAAGAGAGAGAGTACACGGATCAAAATCAAAGGTCTGGCAGCAACAAAGAACAACTTTATAATTTGACTTGAAACATAGCAAAACATAAAGGTGATTATAATCAGAACAGAGCAAAACAAGAAGTAAAAACAACAAAACATAACCGTGATTATGATAAACTTGAGAAATAAAAGAAACCCACCAGCAGTCCCATCGATCATAGCAAACCCAACGTGAATTGTCCCATGTGTTTCATTTTGTTCAATTTCTTTCCACAGTGAAAAGAGACTAGATTGACCTTCACGTCCTGCAACTATCTGTTCTCAACACACTCACCTATAGAAAGAGATAGAGAGAGGAGGCGAAGAAGAAGAAGAAGGTGATGGCTTAAAGCTGCCAACAAAACTGCCGGCAATTAACAGTAAAAAACTCGTCACACAACCAGCCAAAACTCCTCTCTCTCTCTAAAAAGAAACACACTCTCTCTCTCTAGAAAGATACATACAGAGCCACAAAAGTATATAAAATTTCAATATGAACTTACAAGGAAAAATCTTCCGTCCACAATCTACCGCGTCCTTTCCTCTCTCTCTCTCTCTCTCTAGTCTCTATCTCTAAATAAAGCTTCCAAACAATAGAATCCACGCTGGGAGTGATTTCTCAAATCGCTTTCGAGCTCCAAGCTATGAACTTTCAATGCCTCCAAATCTTATATTTGTGGCCCAAATTAATAATAATAATAATAATAATATCAAACACATCGACCGACCCAAGTCGTTCAAATATTCAGCAGACCAAACCATGTTATCAACTTCCTCTCTCCAAACTTCTCTCTCAACGATATAATCACATCGGAGAAATGTAGAGGTGGAAATAAAATCTGGGAAATTTATTACTCGGCTCATAAAAATGTTAAACTTCTTGTGATGGTCATCTTCAACACTACGATCACTGTACATTAACACGTACATGGCCATATGCCATTAGTTTTTCCTTCTTGTTTTTTTTGGGAGGGGGCGAGGGTGTGGGGTAAGATTGATAGAGATGGGGGGTATTCCCTGACCATATTTAGATCACATGATCTTATCCAAAAACAAAAAACATCCACATTTAGGAGGTCGGGTGACTTTGAATGAAAGTGATGTGCAGCATAAAGTTTGATTAAAATAACAGAGATATATGACGAGCCCATATTCAACTGGTTTCGGCTCAATAAATTAAGTATGTCCAAGTTAATTAAAAGATAGCTCAAGTCCGTTTTATCAATTTGACTCAATTCAAGATCTAAGGAATCTATGAAGAAGGGAGCACGTGAGAGAGAGATCATCGGAATGGATACACAAGAATTAATTGTACTTACATTTTGTAACTATCATCCCTGAAAAATTAGTGTCCTCACACTCACGTCATCGCCTCACTATACCTATAAATTGTAAATTCTCTCCACATGAGAGGACACATCTTACCACAACTCTCTATACACACATAACATTTCTCTCTCGTAGCTATTGTACCTCTCCCGGAACACACATCTCTCGAAATTTTCTCTCTTATTTTATTTATCAATACAGACTCTCCGCCACCGTTGCCGTTTTTGAAAGTAGAGTATGTTATTCGGACCGAACTACTATATATCTGTGTGTTGACTCAATATTTACTGTTTTATCATTGATTATTTTATTTATTGTTAATTAATTATACCTTATCACATACTCTACTGTTAATCTTACACGAGACTATTTTATACATCATCAATATAAAATAGAGAAGATGGGAATGGACCTTGTTCGTTAAGATTCGATTACAAGTGCCCAGTGAAAAATTCTTCAGAAAATTAATGTTTCACTATTTTAATGAAGAAATATCTGACCATAGTTTTTGTGAAAACTGAATGATCCAATCAGACCACAGTTTTTTTTTAGTACCGAGTGGTTCAATCAGACCACAGTTTTTATGAAAACTAGATGATCCAATCAGACCACAGCCTTTGTCAGAAATGGATGATCCAAAATGAACTCATGTCTACATTGGGCTTATGTAAAAGGCCAATGGACCATAATCCCATCAGCCCATCGGGCTAAATAGGGTTTCCCCCTCGTGTACCTTGCAGCCTGAAAGTAGCATATCGGCCTAGTTGGTGCAGCAATGGGTCATGTTTTATAGCCTATGGGCCTAATAATAGACTTCTCAAGGCTCTTGAGACAGGTCAATGAGTAGGCCCACCAAAATCAGCCCGAACTATAGCCCATTAGAAACCCATTAAGGACAACCCAACGGGCAAGCTATAAGCGGGTTTTTTTTTTTTTTTGCAAAACAATACTGTGCAGATTTAAAAAATTGATTTAATGATATGACTATTATATTTGTTATTAATTTAATTATAGATCTCAATTTTAGTGGGACTTACTATCTATTCGATAATAATAATTTATTAAATCAAGATTTTAAGTTTATTTAATATTTCTTTCTTTGAAATTGACAAAAGAGAAAAAAATAAATTTTTTTTCTAAAAATATATCACTGATTATAAGATTAACGGTTAATCTAATAACTATCGTTTTTACTGTTAAATTTTAAAAGTCGTTGACTCGAAAATGCATCGGAGCCCACGTTAAACAAAGATTAAAAGCAGCAAATTTCGAACTCAAGCTTAAAGCTAAAATGCCATACTAGTCTTGAAAAGATTTTGAGAGATGCGTATTTAATGGACAACGATGCATTGGAGCCCACGCATTGTAAGAAGGATCGGCGACTCTTACTATCTTATTCTCTGTAGGACCCAGTATGACAGTGCAACCCAAGGTGACGCGATGACGGCCCTCGTGGGACACACGCTCACCAACTCATATGATCCCTATTTTTTATTTTTTTTTGTGAATTTTATTAAAAAAGGGTTATGTTTCCCTTAAGTTTTTAAAAAATTCATATATAGATAGTGAATTTTTGGGCTAAATAGTTAAAATTTAAAAATTTTGTGTATTTTAAATAATCTGGTGGAGATACTCTAAGAGAAAGATTAAAACTCCAAAAAAAATGTTATAATAGGTAAAATACAATTTTGTTATAGTAATGTTCTAAATATAGAGCATCATTGTAGCATTATATATAAGTTAAGGGTAACTCGTGCTTAAAAACACAGTGCAATATGAATGATTTTAAAAAAAAATATTAGTGGTCGTTAAATGAGTCTATTTGAGACATTTGGATGAACTTATTAAAATTCGTTCTTTTTTATGTTATAGATTTTAGATAGATTAGAATATATTTTTCTCCTCTTATCTTTTGTCGACTTTCTTGTTCACTTTTTTGTCTTTCTCTCTCTTTTTTTCTCTATCTAATATTTTTAATAAAGGTATAAAATATGAAAAATAAAATTTAAAATAAGGAATTAAAATATAAAAAATTTATTAAAGTGTGTATTTAAAAAGTAAATAATGAAAATAAAAAATATATATTTTTAGATAATTAAAATACAAAATCTTATTAGAGGTACTCCTATATAAGTTCCTCCTTCGCTATTTCTCTGGGTGTATGTGCAAAATACACGGAAATAGGTTGGTAAGCGTAGCATTTTCCGACAATATATACCCCTCTCTCTCTTCTCTCTCTGGGATCCATCTTAAACGGCAATACGTATGGACCACGTATTCCGGTTTTGAAAAACAGCGCAGCTCCAGACGTGAAACCGTGGAAGAGCCAGAAATGGTCAGACTGAGACACCATAAAAGACTGTACATAATTAGTACCTTTAACCTCACCCACGTAAGTAAAAAACCACATGATGTCCTTTGATAAGACTCAAAAGTCTTGACCATGGTTAACCCTTACCCACTAGCCAACACTACTATGTTTGCTACTAGAGGACGCTTATAGTCTTACTCCTCTTTCCACCTTATTTTCATCTTCTTTGTCTCTTCTTCTGCAAATCCACTCCTACAAGTAGACTATAGAATATACATTTGTATCTGCACAGAATAGAGGATTATAGGAGAAGTAAAGGGTAGGATGTATTAATTATTTGAAAAATAAATGGAAAGAAGTGTTTAAGCAGCTTCTGTTGAATTGTTCAGTAGGTGGTCTATGTTTATTGGGCTTTTGTTTTTGATAGATAGGAAAGAGAAATTCTTTTGGATATTGGTGATAGATATTAGAGCTTAATCTGATTGCTGTATATTGCGCAAGTGACTATAGGATGTTGAAAGAGGGTGTTTTGGATTATTGAAATATTGGGTTTTCTATTTTGTTGATTGTTGAGATTCAGTTGAGTAAAATAGAAACATCAAAGGCCATTAAAGGTTTGATTTCTGAGGATAGACCGATGGGTAAGAAGAAGTTAGTGAAGAAAACTAAAGAGCTTTCAGTAGCAATAGCGGAATCATCAACAATAGCTGAAGAAACCCAGCAACAACAACAAACTCCTACAAAGAGAGGTAGAGGAAGACCTCGCAAAATCATTGAGACAAGTGAAGTGGTGAAGGAAGAAACAGCAGCATCAGAAGAAGATATAGAGAGAGAAGCCAAAAATATTAAAACAAGTACTGATCAAGATGAAGAAAAAGCTAAAGATGAGCAACAACAACAGCAAATTACGAAAGTAGTAGTTGGAGCAGCATCATCTTCAAAGAAGGAACCACCGAGAAGCAGAGCTAAGCGTAAGAGCAAGCCGAGAAAGAGCAGCTAATTAAGACTATTGAAATCCTTCTATTATTTTGGGAAAATCCTAGCTTCACTAGACTAGATTAGATTGGATTAGATGTGTTTTAATTCTTTTCTCTCTTGTGCTATTGTTACAGATGTGGTTTCTGGATTCAATCCTTTTCTGTCTATGCTTTTGCTTTTTCTCATCCTAGAGAGAGAACTACCACTGGGTATTTGATTGCAGTTAGTGTTATAGTGATCATCAATCTGGATATATATATAAAACACCCATATCATTAAGGAAACCAAAGTCTACCCAGTTAGATAGTTTCGTTGATTTGCTGCCTCATATCATAAAAAAATTAGTAATATAAACGACAAAGAATAACTATTGTATGAACAACTGTAGTTAAACTTAAACGGAGAAGAGATTATCGGAGTGACGCTTACAAAGCAAAATTTAATGAAGAAAAATAAACTAAAGGCTTTGTTATGCTGTTTGTATGTGTTGATTGAGAGATCTCTGTTTTATAATCTGTAAAAACAGATTGAGTGATGATAGAAAGTTGTTTCGGTTATGTATTTTCTTGCTTATTGCTTATACCTACAGACCCAACTGTTTACAAGATGAGGTTGTGTTGGTGAAGGAGATTGTTATTTGATCTAATCTCTATCTGATCTATACATTTTAAATTCAAAGATTGCTATCTAATCCTTATCTCTAACACGTTTCCGCAAGCTAAGCATCCCGTGGAGGAGATTGAGCTTGGCACGAAGAAATTGAAATCGCAGAGCGGAGAGAGGCTGAGCTTGGCACAAAGAAGTTGAAACTGCGAAGTGGAGAGAGGCTTGGTGAATATGTCAACAAGTTAGTCTTTTGTGGAGATGTATCAAATTTCAAGATCATGTTGGGCGACTTTGTCACGGACAAAGTGAAATGCGATCTCAACAACATGCTTCATTCTATTGTGAAAAATGGGGTTGGCAGTGAGGTAAGTTGCTCCAACATTATCACACCAAAGAGTAGGGTATCAGAGTGTAGTGACATGGAGTTCCCGCAAGAGCAATTGTATCCAAATAATTTCAACAGTGGCATATGCAAGAGAACGAAACTTGCTTTCGTGCTTTGATCGGGCAACGAATCCTTGTTTACGAGACGACCAAGAGATGAGATTCAGGCCAAAAAAATATAACATAAGCACCAGCAAACTTTGGATCATCCAAGCAGTTTGTCCAATCAGCATCGGAATAGGCCGACAGAACAAAATGTGGAAAGCAACGAATGGGAAGAAAAATGGCCTGTCTTTGAGATACCGACGAATTCGTTTTACAGCGTTCCAATATTTTTCGGTGGGTGAGTACGTATGTTGATAGACTTTTATCTCTAATATAACTTGTAGGCGGTGATTTTTAACTGTTGGAGCTATATTTTTCGGCCATGAAACTACTATTTATGGCTTCTACTTCCAACATCATTGATCGTACGCTGAAACCGTTAACAACCGTCGACTGAAGATGTCACATTTATCATGTCTCTTTGTTATTGAAGATTCGTAAAGACCTTTTCTTTCTATCTTTTTTTCATTTTTGTGACTTAATTCTGGTCGTTGAATCTTATCACGTGCCGTTTTTAAAATTTTTAATATTTAGGTGTAAACAATATTATACCTGACATTAAAAAAAACTATAACCCAAACCTTTATAATATGATCTAAAAAAATATAATTTTGTTATAAACAAATTATAATAGCACCTGCCATAATTTTTTTGAATATTGCGATTAAGGGTGTCGGAATTATAGGTAGTCTTACCCCGTTGCTTTTGGTTTCTTTTTCCGGTTGGTAAACGGGAAATATGCTGAACAGTGAGCGCTTTGCGCCAGTAACGACAACTCGTCATCTAATTGGCTGCAAATCGGCGCTTTCTGCAACCTATGGTTTTTTTTTTTTATTTCTTTTGATTTTGTTTTCATGCATTGCAATGCAGGCTGAATAATAAGAACATAAAATAATGAAGAGAAAGAGAACCAATCTGTGGGCGCACGTGTTCAAGGCGCGTGATTACAGCCTTTGTCTGACTGTCATCAAATCAACTCTAACCATTCGAAATATATCCCTATGTTTTTTCTTCATCCAACTTTCTACAATACGGTGCCACTTTTTTTATAAAAAAAAACCTACCGTCGTATAAATAGTTTTAGAGATTATTTATAATTTCAAGAATATTTGAGAGATTGATCCTAAAATTATTATAAACGATCTTAACATCTAAACTTGATCCAAAATACCCACAAAAATTCTAACATTATAATATTTTTATTTTAAACAAATTCAAGAACTTATATTTCCGTTTATGGTGGTACAATATCAAAATTTCATAATCTCCCCCTTTAAAAAAATAGAAAACTACCCTTTGACCTGAAGTATGTAATCTCGTCAGCCACCGTCGTGCTGTGGTCCGTTGTCGGAAACATTGCCGCTGAAAATCCTTACCGGGGATGCTGGATGGTCATATATCCATGGGGTCTTGGTTTTTACACACAGTAACGCGGCTGGTCTCTTAGCCAACGGACTATACCTGATTACGACGACTTGCATGTAGAAGAAATGCAAACAATTTGTGGTAGGCCCTATTTAAGTTAATGACTAATATGTACGGTGGGACATCCATGGCCAATTATCGATCAAATTCAAATTTGAATTCGTATTTCATGCCTACTCGAAAATTGTATTAGAGCACCGATGACCTAAGTATTTAGGTATCCCATTATTCATAAGAGAGTAAGGAACATTATAACTTGGTAATCAAGAATATCCAAAAGAAATTGAGTGGATGAAAAAGAAGAAACCTCTCTTTTGCGGGCAGAAACACTATTGTGCAAGCTGTTACCTCTACAATCCCTAACTACATTATGCAAACCTCTTGGCTACCTCAGTCCACCTGTGAGAAAGTTGATAGACTTAATAGAAATTTCCTTTGGGGAGATTTAGAGGAGAGGAAAAAGGTTCACTTAATAAATTGGGATACTCTCTGCTCTCCTAAGGAGATTGGGGGACTACGATTGAGAAAATGTAGAGATAACAACTTAGTTGTTCTATCTAAACTGGATTGGAAATTACATTATGAGAGTAAGTTCCTTTGGGTGAAAGTGGTCAAAAATAAGTACATGAACCCATCCTTAAATGATTGGCCACGTAAGCCTAATTCATCCATAATATGGAGAGCCTTGTTGAAAACCAATCAAATTGTGAAAGATAATACAAAATGGCTTATTGGTAATGGTTCAAAAGTGTCTTTATGGAATGACCGGTGGAAAGGTGATAGTCCACTCTAAAGAAGGATGCAGGTTCCATCCTCGGCTAACCGAAACAGCACAATAGCTGAGATTATAAGTCCCACAGGTAACTGGAACATTCAAAAAGCTGGTATGTACCTTCCCCCTTCTTTGATCTCTGATCTCTTGCACACACCACTGCCTTTGGAAGGCTCCCATCATGTCTCACCATCTTCGGGTCTCACAAATAATAGAAAATTCTCCATTAAATCTGCCTATAATTAGATTTCTAATCCTATTTCAAGGCAGCACCATGACTTGAACTGGAATTGGATTTAGAAACTGAGGGTCCCTCAGAAACTTAAACATTTTTTTTGGTTGATCCAAAGTGACAGACTCCTTTCAAACACCTTGAGGTTCACAAGAAATCTCACAAATGATCTTTCTTTGTGAAAGGTGCAAGGCCCAGTACGAAAGCACTATCCACATCTTAAGAGACTGACTGTCCGAAAACTAATCTAGTCTAGAGATCATTTCGATCTCCAACTAGATCAATCTATGGAACTCTAAAGTTGGCTCATTAAGAACTACAATGCTAGAAAGGACATTTTTTGGAGAGGTGTGAAATGGCCTATCCTCTTTTTATCTTTGATATGGAACATCTGGAAAGATAGGAATCAAGGATGTTTGGGAAATATAATCAACCCTCCCCCTTTTATTGCTAAGAAAGTTTGGAGATTGGCATGGAACTCATGGAATGCTTTCAATGAACCCAGGTAACTCCTAACCCCCCCCCCCCCCCCCCCCCACCGAGAAAAAAAAAAAAAAAAACTAATTGGTTGGTCTTTCCCTCCTACAAGATGGTTGAAAATGAATGTGAATGGTAGCTCTAAAGGAAACCCTGGCTCAGCTACATTTGGAGGACTGCTAAGGAATGATCAAGGAAGGTGGCAGCTAGGGTTTTACGGAAAGCTAAAGGATTCCAATTGCCTACAAGCAGAACTATGGGCAATCTGTCAAGACCTTAAGATTATACAAACTCAGAATCTAAAGAATGTGATCATAGAAACAGACTCCCTAGATGCCCTCAACCTAATCTCTCCTAGGTTGGAGGAACTCCACCCCAAAAGGAATATCATTGCAAATTGCAAGTATATAATGAGATTGACTAACACTCTCATTATTCACACACTGAGAGAAGAAAATTTTTGCGCTGATAAAATGGCAAGCTTGAGAGGGTTACAGTAGGATTCTTTTTTGTTCTTTTTGATGTCCCACCGCCTGTGTTAGGGCAATTTATTTTAAACAGAGGGTTTAAATAACTTTGTTTTCTTTTCATATGTACCCCAAAAAAAAAATTTGTATTAGAAAGAATGAATAAGAATTTTCTTAATTTTTTTAATGTCAAATCATTAATTTAAATTTGACAATTCTAAAAATATTTGTAAATGGCATAAAATCAATAAGAAATCAATTGATTTAGATTTCACCTAATACATTTGCATCAACCAATTGGCATTTAGTCTAATAATATTTCTTATCTTGTAAAAATTTTGTCTTCTTAAGGTCAAGGGTTCATGTCCCTTCTCCTCCTCTTCCTTCCCCCTCTCAAAAAAAAAAAAATTAGATTCGCGTGATTAAAGCGAGGCCCGTGAAACTAGACAAAAACATGAATACGACTATGACAAGATTATCAATGGGTTAAGAAATTTTGTACACAACCCGAAGATCCAACCCATTGCAAGTGCTGTGAATTCTAATTGAGAAAAAAAAGAGTAGGGCTGATGCTGTAACAAACACATTGATCACTTGGTGGTAGCTTTTCAGAAAACTTGATGTACATGGCAGAGGGAAAGACCAAACATTCGTTATTAACAACTTCTTGAGATCAGGTCACGAGTGATTTATAGTTTTATACCTCCCTCACAAATTTTCTAATCCCAGCGTAGATGACATGTATTTAACTGGACCGAGAAAAGTATAAGTCGAGGTGCATATAAACTATCTCAAACACCATTGACCGTTAAACCAAAAAATAAAAAACTCAAATCTGCATAGGAATGAAAATTATTTCTTCAAATATTATAGAGAGTACTCCTACTTAACAAGCTAAGTTATGAGGCACTTCCAATCTATACAATACAACACTTACATATGGTGCTGCTACCTCTATATCCTCGAAAAAAGGAGTATAATATACTTTAAGATGATAGCCAAAGTAGTACAACACAAAAGGTAGTATATTAGTTACCAAAAAAAATTTCCACCCCCTATAGTCATATGATGCAAAACTGTTCAGCAATAAACAAAATATAGGACAAAGATACCAGAACTAGATAAACCTAATTTTGACGGACAAAATTGGTGGCAACTCCGGCCAATCATCGTATAAAAAATTTGACAATTTTTATGCTCTCTTGATAATCAAAAATTCAGAACACACCTGGTCAGCGTTTTGATTTGTGATGTCTCTCCTTCTTATACCTAGATTGCCCCGGATCAAACCCACCTTCATCTGCTCCATACACAGCCCACGATGGTGAGGGAGCCATGTAATCCTTGCTGTTAAAAGGTCTTCCAGAAGCCACCTGAATCGCATTATAAAGAATAAATATGTTAGCAAAATACAAAATGTACACATGGCTGTATCATAACACTTCCAAATTAAAAAAAATGAACAAATTTACCAACCAGGTCATGAAATTTTTCATAGTCTATCCAAGTGAACCATTGACCATTGATCTTAAACTTTTCAACTTTTGCCAGAAGAACACAACATGAATGTACATGCTCACAAGCAACCTCATACTCCCCTTTGCTTTTTTGAGCTAAGGCCTCTGAAAAAGCTTTTACATCAGAATGCCAGGGCACATTCTCCATCGTCAACTTTGAAGTAGCAGACCTGCTATGAAATACTCTTGATCATGCAAGTTAAGCACTAGAGACTGAAATGGGAAAAACAAGATACAGGGGAAAAAATCTTACGATCCACAATAAGTGACGCCTTTAATTTCAACGAAATCAGGATTTCCTATAACAAATAGGCTAGAATAAGCATCTATGTCCTCAGTATTCCACCCTTTAACCAGTGTCAAGCGATAAACAGTTCGCTGCTGCTTCTCCCTAAGAGCTTTCAACGAGTCCTGACAACAAATTTTGCAAATAACACGTGTAAGTAATGCCTCAATCAGAGACCCAAGTCGGAAGCCTAATAATATGAATGAGAGGTTCCTATGTGAAAAGCTTCACAAGTGGGATCCACAATTCGATGGATCACGAAAACGTTTCTGAGCCTCAGATGTGAATCCATTTGGATGGTCAGATTTATAAGCCATCTAGTGATCTCAGTGGGCGTATCAAAGGTGATGATCATAACAGACATGTTTTGTAAACAAGGAAAAGTTAAATGGATGCACAGCAAAGTATTCACTTGTTAGAACTAACCACCGATGGGCTAACTGAAGCTTTAAACATACCAGTAACAAGAAGAGAAGATTACGTTTTTGGGCCTTAAAGCTTTAACCATGGAGTAATAATATTTTGTTTGCTTCTACTTGAAAAAAGAGGTATCCCCCTCCCTCTCCACTCTGTCTTTTTAGAGGGAGCTCATCCCCATTTCTTCTTTAATATATATCTTAAGCTTCATTTGGATGAGAGAAATATCATTGTTTTTTGACAGTGAAAATAAAGGAAATAAAACATACAAAAGATTTGATAGTAAATAGTTTTGGTCCACTTTTTGGGATGTGAAAAGAAAAGTTCTTACAACAAACCGCTCCCAAAAGTCACCAAAGAGAGGTCTATCAATTGCCTTCAAGCTATCCTTTGTTGCAGCATCCACGCTAACATACAACTGCCCAAGTTAAAGAAATAAACCCAGTTAAACTAAATAATCAAAATCTAGGAACATTTATATAACACTAAATAACAATTTTTGGGTGAGAAAACGGCATGTAAACCTGTGTGATAGGTTTCAGCATCTTAATCTTTTCAGGGAACTGCGCATTTGTCACCAGAAAAGTGGAAATCCGCCTCTGGTGCAGCTCATCTACAAGAGAGTTGATCTCTGGATACATGATAGGTTCACCAACAAGTGATAAGGCACAATGTCTAGGGGAAAGACCCTCTGACAATCGCTCCACGGTAACACCTGCAGGCATATAATCTTCTCATCCACTGACACCACCAAGAAATGTAAATTCAAAAACTAAAATGAAGGGAGAGAATTCAACATCATTTATTTGCCCCACATTTTTTTCAGTACAATTTTGAGGAAATAAATTCAGGAATGCCAGGATTTCTAATTTTCAAGGTGTTCTGTAAGATCATTGGCAGCATTACCAATAAGCTCAAACCACATAAATGTTCAAGTTTCAAAAAAAAAGGTTCAACAATCCATGCAAAAAAAAACCCTAGTCCATTCAGCTCTTCAAAAGCTAAAGCAAGACCCTCTAGGCATGGAGAAATCTAAATCATCAGCTTATTCTTCTTCAATTTTTTCCTTTCATGTCAAAAGTGGGTCCCACAACTTGGTCAATAGTTGAGATACCACTAGACAACAAATATTAACAATGTGTTTTGTTATGTTGATCGAACAAGCCTGGACTTGACATTATACACATACGCAAGGGGTTAAAGAGATTATATTAGCTTTCACAATTGGACCTGAGAAGTGCATGGTGGGAGAGAGGGGCAGACAGAGAGTTCATCATTCACTGTTGAGGGAGAGAGACTAACTGAGAAATATACAACGTACCTGGAACTCCTTTCATTTGCCTTATCATTTTTTTATGCAGGTCTATGGCAGAATTCACAATTTCAATAGGATCATCCATCTTCCACTGCCAGCTCTTTCCTACAGGGTTTGTGTGATGTCTCCAACAGAAAACACATTTATTGGCACATGCCAAACTTGGAGTTGCCTCCATGCACCTGTTTTGTTGCAAAGACAAACCTAAATAGTAGATCAATGAAAGCCACAGTTGAAAAAGAAATCACATAAAAAACATACCAAGGAATCTCAAGCTTCACCCCTCATATACAGAATGATCACCATGCTGCTTAATCAGATTGAGGAGAACAATAAAAACAATCTTCATGCAAGTGAGACGTGGTGCAACAGAAGTATTCTTACTGGTTGAAAGAATGAAGTGTGATTCCTCAACAGTGAGGAACAATTATGGGACAGCCACAACATAGCTCATAACAACCATACAGTTATTTGTCTCCTATTATTCCTAGATACTATGACCACGTGGACATCCTTATTTATAACAGATATTCAATCTCGTTTGTATTCCATTCTACGCAGTATGATACATAAGCAACTTAAAATTTGCACACAACTTGACTCTAGATGCCCCTTAATAACAACCACATTGACATTATATACTTACATTTAAATTCTTAGATTATCAGATTTACTTTCAAGGAACAAAAGATGCAAAATACAGTTAGACTCATATGTATTACACTCTGAGAAATAGTAAGCTCAAGCTGTAACTAACCGACAAAATAGAAGCATATTATTAACTTATGTAACTTACAAACGACCAGGGCTATAATAAAAATAATAAGTTATCAACAATCACCTATGACTCTCAATGCCATAAAATGAATGCTTGTAGCAACCTCCACGCCCTCTAAGTTGTGACTTGGTCCATCTACAAATTTTGACACCGCTGTGTGAACCGATAATTTTATATCCCTGCCAAAATTAAGTCAAAGCAATTCAAATCTTGTCAAAAACATATGCAAGGCTAAATAGCCAAGGCCAATACATTAATGAAAGCAAGAGAAAGAAGGACACAGTAAGACCTTCGAAATGATATTACATATGGTAGCAAGTGCACATTAACCAATATATAGTGAGAGTGTTGGTCAACAATCAATAGGAGTTGCACAAAACAGAGCAACAGACGTGTAATAATCCAGAGAGACCCACAAATAACGCTTCTCAAAAGAAACGAAAATAATATCAAACAAGTGCACATTTCAGGTCCACAACCTTGATTACAGTAGCTGTTAACACCAAAAAATGCTTCAATATGTGACCATTCTCGGTGTTACACACAAGCAAGAGTTCCATTAGGTTTAAATAAAATTTCTAAATTGACCCGAGCTGCAAATCCGTAAAAATTCTACCTCTCAAAAATGTTAAGCAGACACCATACATTTATCAGAAAGTTCAAATCTCACGATTTCACCAGAGTAAAGGGATTCAAACGAGGATACCTGCTTCTCTAAGCTCGCTCTAATCACCGGAGTCACCATTTCTTTAACCCCATTCAAATTGCCATTAGTTTTCCCCACCATCCCGGACTTTCTGGAAGGCCCTTTACCCGCAATATCCTCAAGATCAAGAATCCCCGACTCTGCACCATTCTCTCTGCCCTCGTCCTCATCCGACCCATCAGTTATCTCACTTTCACCCTCAAGATCATCCCCATCAACAATATACCTCTCATTTCCCTCCAAACTACCTTTCAAAACCCCAATAATTTTCCTACTCCACCCCTCAAAAGCCACATCCAATTCACCCTCGTCAACATCCCCTTCACATAACGGCAACATCTCCGCCGCGCCAAGCGCTTTCAACCTCTTTGAAAAGTCCTTCGCCACCGCATTGAACGTATCACCATACGCCCGGCTTCCAACCCCAAAAACCGCAAATTTACACTTACTAAGCAGCAAAGAACCAACCCTAAAATCATCAACACTCTCCGCAAGCCAATTCTCGAAGAACTCACCATTCGGAGGCGATTTCCCATCTCCCCAAGTCGAAGCAACAATCAAAACTAGGGTTTCTTTGTGGAGGTCTTCCGGCTCGTAGTCTTTGGGATCAACGAGGTCGAAGAAAAGACCAGTAGATGAGAGAAGATTGTGAAGGCGTTGTGCTAGGGTTTTGGAAGTGCCAGTTCGGGAGATGAAGAAGAGCTTGCCTTTGCGATCAAGGTTAGAGTTAGGTATTAGGGAGACGGGTTTTTTGACGAGTTTGAGAAAGCGAGACTTATAGAGAAAGTAGATTGTGGTTGCGGAGAGGAGAGTTAGGAGGGTGAGACGAGTGGAGAGTGAAGGAGAGGACATGGTGGTTGTGTTTTCCACTCTGGTTCCGAGATTCTAGGGGAGGTGAGAGAGTGAGGAACTCATCTCATATTGATCGCCATGACTCAAAACTGAAGCTTGTTGCTCACCGACTGTGGTTCTGGTACTGGCCGAGGAGCAGGACATGAAAAGGAGGCGAAGGGGGTTAAACTAATTACTATACCTTCTGAAATTAATTAGTTTCTCTAAACCACCTTCTGTTTTCTGGCAAATGAAATGAAACGAAACGAAACGAAATAAACAAAAATCAATCCTGTTAGAGCAGATTTTTTTTTTTGGGTATCGTGGTCAAGAATGTTTGAATTAATTTAAATATATTTCAATTAATTCAAGTTATTTGAATTTACAACACATTCCGAGTAAATATAACGCATTCCGAACTTCACTCACTCGATAGTCCTCCTGAGATTAAGCCGATTAATTTCAAAAGTTATTTGCTATTTTTTTCTGTATTTTCCAAAAGCTATGATGCAGGAGTAGATTTTGTAATTTTAGAAATCATTAGGGGAGAAATTGGTCCAATGACCACCATTAAGACCACCTTAGCGCCCCCAGATTCAAATCTAATCATCACAATAAAAATAATAAATAAAAAAAGAGGTAAATTATAAGTAAGCCTACAGACATGATACTCGGCCAATCCACCCCTTTTACTAGGGGATAAAAGAAGCGAATGGCACAAGCTGCTAGACAACATCTTTTATTTTTTCAGGAAACAGGGTTGCTATACAAATTTCATTACATTTCATGTCATCTAAACTGCAAAATTTGCCTAAAAAATAAATATGCCATACTATTTTATTGGGTTAGAAGTTGGACCATATTTCATTTTTTAGATCACATCGCTATCCTTTCCGTATGGAATTTGAGATTGCAATCAATGCAACCTGATACAGGGCATTTCTAGTCTAATACAGTTGCACAAAAACGGAGCATTCTACATAATTACAGCACAGCATCTGAGCACTTATACAAAATAACAATGAGAGTAGTAACATCAACAGCCTCTTTAACAAATTTCTTTTGGGAACTGTATGTGCTGTTACCAGAGCCTGTTATCATGACCTACTTGTAGTTTCTGGATCGGAAGCCTGATCTGGCGAGACGTGCATGTTGACCTTTATCCTGCACCAAAAAAAATTCAGTCATTTTTTCATTCGTTTATTTGCTCTATTGTTTTAATTCAATACATAGTCAGGATCTGAGCTCCTCCTGGATTCGTACACTCTTCAAAAAACAGCAAATTGGTGATATACTGCTTCCTTAGCAAAGTGATGTAATAACATTCCTAAGCTGAAGACAAAAGGTTGTGAAGGCACTAACATGTGCCCATTGATCCAGAAAAAGACAAAAGCCAACATAATTGACCCATGCTTAAAGTAGTTCCAGATACTTGAATTCATGGTGATTTTAGTTTCTTTTTTCATTTTTGGGACCATGTTTGATTGCAAGCTACACATTGATATAAACTGTAAACCCAAAGGAAAGGAGAATGAGACACTTGATTTTACCTGTTGTGAATATTTACATATTCATCAGTTTCGTCCAATATCTCCTCCTGATGCAAGCAAATATGTGAGAGACTCAAGATCAGTGGATATAACTATAAAGCAATAAAAGATCATGGAGGCTCAAAGAATGTAGTCTTATTAAAAAGAACAGCAACCAGTTAGAGGTCATATATACATCAGCTTGGTTCAACTAGCCCAGCCATGGCAGACAATATATATAGCAGTAGAAGAATAAAAAGGGAGGAAAAGATATAACTACATGAAAGTAAAAAATATTACACCAAGTTTGTGCATTTAATATGAATGAGGATGCACCCATTACCATGGTAAAGCTAATAACTTGGGGGTCACTATGCACCCCATTGTCTATCAGGACAAACAAAGTTGGTGTTCCATAAGAATGTTTGTTTATTCCTTGTCAGGAAGAAGTTAAAAGTGGCATTGGAAGGGTTAGTAAAGGTGGTTCAAGCAGACAATTTGAAGAGCAGTTCCCTTTCAAGCTGGCATCAAAAGATAAGACAGTAAGTATTTCTAGTTAAGACATTGCAATTAGGACTTGAAGTGCTGGCATGGCATCCAAAGGACGGGGAGAGTCAAGAGTTCAATTCTTATAGCAAGCAATCCCAAAAATTATCCTTCAGTATATACAAGGCATAACCATCACTTCCACAGGATGACCACACCAGTCCTGTAATTCTATTTTATTTCCTTTTTTTGGCCTAAATTGACAAGAATGCACTCCAGTTCTTCAAAACATAAAAAGGTTCTTCTGCAAAGCAGAACTAGATTGTTATGACCCGATATTTTTAAATACCATAATCTTGTGCAACACCATCTTCAAACTTTGTTCTCAAGCCCGTGCTCCAATTTAACAGAGTAGATATAAAGAATTCAGTCCACGCAGTTAGCTCCATGACATAAGGGATGGTTATGGTCCCATCAACTTCAATGATATTTATGTAGGTAGCTGTATAAAAGAGAAGGGCCAATAATGACTTCTAAACATGTGTACGAGTCCCATGTGTGCTTGTCATGATTCTGCGTGCATATTGAAGAATTCAAATTTCTACTCTGTACCTGAAGAAGTTCCTCAATGACATCCTCCATGGTGATTACACCAACAGCTTCTTGATCGGGTGGGATATCTGGAACAGGAGCATTCTCCAAATCTAAGACGCAAAACGAGCAACCTCTGTGCCTTTTCTTGAAGGAAGGAGTAGTTGAAGGACTTTTCATTAACGGTTTATCTCCATCAGTCTTAATCACAGCTGTGTCAGCATCCTGTGAGTCAGTTTTAATGCCCACATTCTGAGTATCTGCAATAGGACCCACCATATCATGTTCCAATACCACCAAACAAGCAGAAATATGTATTCAATGAAACTAGATACAGGTAAAGAAAGCCAGGTTCGCAGTTTCAATACTTGTAGATCACAATTAATAGACAGTGCTAGTTTAAGCATAATTGGTAAGAATCAGGTGAGCTGAGGCTTGTTTGTAGAAAACGTCAAAAAAATGAAACACACAAAGCTGAAAGAGTTAAACTGAGATTTATTTAAAAATTAGAAGAGAAAGGAGTAAACAAAAGTCAATACTGTAGCACTAAAATAAAAAATTGGAAATCTCTAAAGAAAACAGATTATGAAATATATCATATTCATTATTGGACTTGCAGTTTTCACCCTCTTTAGTTTTCTGTGGTGTATCTTTTCTCTCGTTCAGATCTTTAAATACAACAGCAATGTGGCTGTGACCCTTCTGAAATTCATTCAGAATATCATAAAGAGGCATGTCTTCTGAAACCCTGAAAAATGTAAAGCAAGGTAAGAAAACAAAAAAGCAATCAAACACGCATGCACAATCAATGTAATATCATGAAAGTATTCAGAAGCTATGGAGTATTACAAAGTTACTACTTCAAAACAGAAATGGGAATTCTATTGCAGCACAGGATTAGCCATATTCTTACAGCATTAATCATATTGTGCAGGTGGAATGCCATCTATGATGGTAGGGAAACTATAGGCAACACACTGTGCAATAAATATGACGGATGACATTTGACCCCGTGTTCCATTTCAACAAAGCAACAAGTCATGCATATAATTGCCATTTGGCAGCCTTTAAGTATGAGGATGGCATGGTAATACTCCACGAGAGAGAGGTATAAGGAAGGATACTCTGAGGTCCCAAATCATCACACAATTCAAGATGGCATCTTTTTCCGCATCTATGCAAGATTGGGTCAAATCTGTACCAATGAAAGCAAGACAAGCCTTAGACCCTGGTTATACTTGCATTGACAACCCTATAACAACCCTAAACCAAAGTTGATATTCACTTTCATCCATGCTCCCATAAAATTGGCAAGAAGATTTGGTAATAGTTCTTCATGTTACTCAAGTAGGAAAGACAAGACTCAGTGGTATCATACTTCCACCACTGGTAAATATAGATGATAACAAAGGAAACAAATTTTGCGACTTATGCCCTGCTTGCAAAAACTACGAATAAACATGGTAAACTAGCTGATAGATTTGTTGGGTGGGGAGGTAGTGTTCAACACATGCAAACTCGACAAATCCTTATTCCAAATAGCTCATCAAACCTTTTCGGGATATCCTGTTCTATAAAGGCAATATCTCCTCTAAAATCATATGCAACTGTGTATGTTGCACAAGATAAGGAAAAAGTAGAAAAGAGGTCATTCTTACCTAGGAATTTTTCTTATCATCATTTTTCTCAGTGGAACTGCATCTTCGGGGTCAACTGTTAAGAGATTTTTAACCTGCATGTGTCAAGACTGGACAAATTAAGCCTAGAGAGAAACCATGAAGAAGTTACCACATTTTATTTTCTGATATTATTATACAAATGAGTGGCATTCAAATTTAATGAACTACAACTTCACAAACTTTGATAAGCAATACTAGAATTGGAGCCAATTATACATGTACATTTGAGTAATTTTGTTATTACAGTCCATGAAATGTTTTCTACTAATGCCTAATAATTGAGGATTCAAGATTATCATATTGACCAAAGGTTTTAAGTTTACAGTCAATCTAATGTAACCGTTTCTCATAATCATGTCTTGCGAGTGGCAACAGGTAAATGACAAGGCCTAATAATGAAAGTTGTAGTTAATGTTGATATTACAAGCTTCCAAAACCCAGTTGAGGTTCCAATATTCACATGAGGATCAAGAATAACAGTGAACAAACAAAAATCATTGTATCTCTTCTCTATTTTATCCTTTTCCATATGTAATACTTCCGCACACACTGTCAAGCAACTGACCGACTTTTTTTCACATGCAACTAAAAAATAGCGAGGACAATGATTTTGGGCAAGACTAATGGCTAATGCCTAACTTTTCTGCTTAGTACAATAATAATCAGACCCATACAATATTTTGCCCAACTTAATGCATAACAGCCCTTTTTAAATCTTAATATGCTGTGCTTATCCATTAGCATTTTGTCTTTTGTACTAGTTTCTTTTACCCCGCAGCATTACCAGATGTCTTCGGAGTAAATAAAAAATGGGACTCCCTTAGCAATCTACTTACTGCAACCAAGTGAATGTACATATATAAATTCCTGTTTATGGACTACCATAGCAATGCACATTAGGCGAAGGAATTTTGGAACTAGTCTAAAACAAATGAGAGACATGGTATGCAACCATGGTTTTCCATCGACAGCAGGCATCATGATAACATAAAAGAAAAAAGAAAGTACCAGAATAAGTCCAATAATATTTGTTGGATTTCCAGAGTAAACAGGAACTCTACTGTGGCCAATTGTCATTATTGCATTCAAGGTTTCCCTGTGATAGCAAGAATAGAGAAAGAGAGGGAGATTGAAAAGTTGGAGCATAAAACAAAATGCATAATTTGCAACAGAGAATGAAAACAAGCCATAAACCCACAAAGTAAGAGTTCCGTCCAGATCAAGGGAAAATGCCTTCGATATTGGGGTCATGGCATCTTTTGCAGTCTTTTCGGTCAATTCCAGTGCCCCAGCAATGATAGTTGTCTCATCATGTGTCAAATCCCCACCTTTCCCAGCCTATCAACAATACATGCATATGCCATAATTGAGCTATCTCACACACACCCACAAACAGAGAGGGGTACTAAAGTAACATAAGCCACAGTGTTGTTGTCACGGGCAGTTCTTCTCATATATAATTTCAAGCAGGACTTATTCTTAATCTATGAACTAGGCTACATAAGCACCAAAAAATCAAAGGATTGGTTAATAGCAATCTTGAGTAAAATACCTCATTGCCATGAAAATCCACAAATGTCTTTAGCTCTGCTCTCCGTAGAAGGACACCATGTCCCTTACCCAGCATCCAATCTAGAACCTACGCATTGTATAGGATTCAAAATTAAAAAAAAGGTATCTAAGAAATATTAAAGTAATCCCTATTTGCCACTAACTTGACATAAAGTGTGCAAAGGAAACCGTAAATGCCGTCTTTTGTTGTTTGGGCTTTGCAAAGACTTACAACTTATCTCCATTTTAATGAATAGTTTATTTTCTTTCTCACCGATGTCAAGTGTGAAAAGTGAATATAGACTATAAATTTTAACCATATTTCTTTTACACAATTTTGTCACCAAGCTAACAGATGGATACCTGTCAATTTCCTTAACAGGCAAGAGATCGATTTTCCCCAAAAGGAAAACATAGAATAGAGACATTGAAAATCATGTATGGTACAACTGAGTGCAACTACGTGCCTTACTAATGGGATAAGCAATGGGAAAGCAAATCCAGAGAAGAAGATGGACAAAAGGCGCCACAGTTGCTCCAACAAGCAAGCCATAACGTGTACAGATTGCTTGAGGCAATATCTGCAAGCAAACATTCAACCACAAAAAGTTATAGGATAATTTTTAAGCAGGAACCATGTAAATCTAAACCTGTCAAGTTAAGTATGAAGATAAAAACCTCTCCAAACATAAGGATTAGTGTGACTGATATCAAGACTGCGGCCCATGGAGGGACAAGCTTGTCCAAGAATATGGGAAGAGACTGCAGAAGATAGAACCATACCAGATAGTCAAAATCACCAACATCGTTGATGTTAGATAGATAATCAATACTTATCAGTCACCTAAAAAGTTCCACACACCTCCATTGCCAAAGAATTCCCCATTAAGAGCGTACAAAGCAAAAGGTGCTGATTCTTCACCACTGGAAGTATTTTAGCTGCAGAAAACATTTCAATTTCAAATTACTGATACACACATAACCAAACCAAATCAACCCTTTTGTCTTAATTATTTGAGGTCAGCTATATGGGTCTATCTTCGCTATTCATTTCGATCACACGCTACACACTCATTTAAGTAAATATTTTCATATCTTTTCTTATTATTTCGTTCAATATTAATTTAGGCGTACCCCTACTTCTCACTTTTTCTATCCGGTGGCTCTATCGACCTCTATTAAACATGACCACACCATCTAAACCTATTATCCCTCAACTTATCCTCAATTTGAACAACTACTACCATTTCTCTAAGGGGCAATTTATCCTTTCTAATTTTTCCCCACGCACATACACACACTTAATTCCGTTCAGTCTGTATACAGCTTTCTGTTACAAAACTCAGCGAGTCTATAATAGTCTCGAAATCAGGCCATGACGGGCAACAAGTTCACTACCTCAAGCAGACTTTTCATGCTTTCAAAAATACAAATCGATCAATTTGAACTTCCAACCGTCTAATTCGCAATAAAATACAACAAGATTGATCAAGATTATGAGACAAACTCAAGTGAATAAACCAGAAATTTTGTATCACCCAAATGACCAGAGTCACAGAATTGTTTTCAAGTCACCATAATTATTCACAAGGACGGAAAAAGTAAGAGAGTACAGGCATGGATGCGATCTTGAGGACGACCGGACTTGCTGAGGACTTCCAGGTCGACGAGGCCAAGAGACATGAGTCCTAGAGTGAGACCGGCCATAAGACCAGCGAAACCCACCAATCCTATGACTGCCAGAACATAGAGCCAAAACGTAGTTTCACAGCACGGCGCGTCCGCCGCCATCTCCTCTCTCTCTCTCCCTCTCTCTCTCTTTCTCTCCAAGACTCTGTGTATTTCTGTCTTTAAAATCTTCAAGTTCGTTCCGGTTTGTCTGCCGGACCCCTTTTGTCCTATGCTTTTTTCAAAGTACCACCACGGGCGTCTGCAACATGTATATAGGTTTTTACCCTGTGTAACCGTTCACTTAGCAGCTTCTTCCACTCAAAGATTAACAGCCGTCAATTTGAGATCATATTAATTAGACGAAATTGCAGAACTCATAATCAGTCAAATTTTGCTTTAGCAGCTAATGAACCCGATGGTATCGGATTCCTCATTCCTGACTTCAGATTTTTGAAATTGATATCTGCTTACAAAAAATTTTTAGAGCATAATTTTCTAATTAACGTAATAAGGAAATTCTATAATTTTTTAATTCGTATACTATCTCAGTTCGACTATAATCATTTCGTTTTGAGTATTATGTACTGAAATAATTCAAATTCAACCTTCGATCAAAAACCAGAATCATAGATTATATGATCTCAAAAATTCTTTAAATCAGAATTCTACATAAACTCTTTAAATTTTTGAGTTTGAAAAAATATAACAACGACCCAGATTATATAATATATATTTTGTGAAGAATATGCTAACAACAGATTTACGCGTGACTTGTTTTAATCATGTTTTAACATAATTTGTGAACTTTTTATATCAACTATATCTTACGTTTATCTTATTACTTACATTTTTATTTTTAACTATAGTTATACTTTCTATTTACATTTAATTTTTTAATTACATCAAATATTTTCACTAACCACCTTATATACATTGTAATCAATCATTTACATTTTTACCACAATAATGTTTTTGCTTGGGTTCACCTTAAGTATCCAATATGCTGTCCTGAACCCTCCTAAATAATGTGGTTGGATTGCTCATCGAAACACAGTTACAACTCTGGAGTTGCAGTGAATTAGACGCAACTACCAAACTCCTACTTGCTATTATTAAAAAAAGGCTTTACTTATAGATGTCGCTCTATATCTGCGAAGACAATGATTCCAATATGTATCAATATTGGTGTATAATAAGGAACAAATTGTTTGGGTATAGTGCCTTGGTTAAATATTTTATTTAAATTCTACTCTTTTTTTTTTTTGCACATTTGTACTTGACTTTTCTAATTAAATGAACTGATTTTTAAAATTGTTTTTGAGCTCAAACTCCAATTTGGAGAAGTGTTAAACTTAACACATCTACCACCAAGCGGTTGTCTGTATTTTTCATTCTTCTTTGGGTTTTACTCAAATATCAAATAACGAAGGGATCTTTCATTATTTTAGTCCAATGACAGATAAAAGGTGCCTCTTCTGCGTATCCAAAAAAACCAAAGAGGTGCCTCTTCCCATATCCCTATTCTCCAACATTTTTTTTTCGTTTATTAGGGATATCTAGACTAACTTAAACACATTTTGACTAATCTATTTTTCGATTTGATTAAAAATAAATCATTCATACTGAAACTAAGATATTTATAAGAAATAAATTCCAACATCTATCAAAGTGAAATTTTGGTCCAATTCGAACCTCCATCATCAAAATGAACCAAAAAAATTATTCTGTTTTTAAAGAGGAATTTATAAGACAAGTTGCCCTTAGCCAATTTTTTTAAGACGCATTCTTCAATCAAGTTGGGCTATTCACCTTTTATGTGTTCTAACATGCACATCAAATCATATACTACTTTAACTACTTTAAGCGATAATAGAGACGAGTGATAAATTTAACCATATTAAGTTTGAATATGAAGAATTTATCTTTTATAAATTTTTTAATTTCAACGTAGATAACCTAACTTTGAACAGACCAAAAAAGATATTAGTTGAAATGCGCATAAACTCACTCAAACACCCTGACTGTTGAAAAAAAAAATATTGGCACCACTCAACCCGTCACATTCTGATTCCCCAACCATCTAAAACTCTCCCGCGAGCCCCGCTAGTGCACACATTAATGCATGTTGGGATGAGTGGACAGGTGAGTATTTCGCAACTAGAAAACAAAGGATGGGTTGGTGACGTTCAAGAACGAGACATCAATTAAATTAATACAAGTTTTACCATATGCTATGGATTGTGTTGCCTATACCTATCCTATTTATAATCGTATATTATGGAATTTCTATGGTATATACGCCATGCTTAGCCAAGTTTTCAAGGCTTCTAACTGGATCATGTTAACCCATTCATTAAACAAGTTTGATTTCGCCCTTGTTTATCACCTAAACACGCTAAAATTAAATCAAAATTTGTTAATTTTGTATCAGTTTCACATTGTATTTGGAATTGCCAAAGTCTTATTCTACGCTTCCACCACTATCTTATACAGGTCATTCCAAAGTGGGAGCCATCCTTCGTCACTTTTTAGCTCTAGAGCGAAAAGGCAAGTGAATTGGTGGTAATCGTGGATTCTCTCATTACCTCCCTTTACTATCAAGTTCAAGGCCAAGAAGCAAGATACGTAGGGCTGCTTTCTCAGACGTTGGTTGTGTGTGGTGTAGATCTCTTTCCTTATCCCTAACTACGCTCTCCTGTCTCCCCCAACACCCTTTCTGCTATATGTTCTCTGCATTATCTCTTCACTTCCTTTGTTCTATTAGTCTCTGATATTCGGGATAATTAATCATGTCTGATCAAGAAAATGGCCTGCAAGAAGACCAGACATGGCCGGAACTAGAGCTGCCTAACTTATTATACACTGACACTGTTCGGAAACTCCACGCAGCCATCGAAAATGACTGGGATGCTCTCCGGCAATCAGCGTGCCAGACAGCAGCAGGAAGAGCATTGTGGAAGCATGTGACCCATGATCCACTAGCAGAGTTATTCGCAGGAGAGACATACCTGAGAAACATTTATGAAAAGATTAAGAAAGACCGCCTCAACAAAGCCAGGGAAATCTCTGGTGTGATTCTTGCTGTCCGAACCCTTTGGTTTGACTCGAAGATTGAAGATGCTATCAATTCTTTTGATGGTGGAGCAACCCAAGTTGTTCTTCTTGGTGCAGGTTGGTGATTCTACTACCCAATTCTTTTTGCATTTCAGTATCCACCATGTTGTGTCTGAAGACAAATCAAACCAATGCAGTCCAAAATCCTCTGGATGTGTGGATTACCCTCCTTACTTAAGGTGAGTTGAAGTGTTAATACCACCAAATGAATAAAGTAACAAAAAAGACTTGAAACAAAGCACATGTCCTGTGGAAAGGATGGATTTATGGTTCAAGTAATATAGAGTTGTTGCAGGGCATAAAATGGGATAATGGCATCCCTCCAAAAGGAGAGAACTTGTATACCACCAGGGCACAACGTATTATAAGCAGAATGGTTTGTGAACTCTGCATAGGCTGCTGTTGAACAATGTAGGTACTTGAAAATTATTTACCAAAAGAAAAGAAAAGAAAAGACGAGGGAACAAAAGTAGGCATGATAGACACTTCATAGAAACTTATGCATGTTGCCAATGAGAATCCAGGATAAATTAACCAGTCCAAATTTTATGGGTCATGGCCAATGAAGAGCAGATATAATGAACAATCAGGGCACTGGATTGACCATCTAGGTCACATGTCCAGCTTGCATGCCAGGGGTGCACTTTCTTCCAACGGAAAACTCTGGCTTCCCCCCATCTAAAAGATTTTTCCTTACAAGAACAGATCAGTAGGTCACAAATTTACATTTTCTGAAGAATAGCACAATGCAGATCAAGATTTGAGAAATACTTTGCTTACCTGCAGGAATGGATGCCAGGGCATACCGTCTCAGTTGCTTGAAAGAGAGCGATGTTTTTGAGGTTGATTTTCCTGAGGTCTTGCAAATGAAAACCACTATTCTAGAGGCATCAACTGAATCAACCAATGAATTCCAGCTCCAGAAGATGAAAGCAAAATCACTAATCAGAGTTGCCGCTGATATCAGAGAAAACGACTGGCTCAAAAAGCTTCAGACATCAGGGTTTGTGCCAGAGAAAAATACAGTGTGGGTTCTAGAAGGTATACTCTACTACCTCTCCCACTCCAACGCCATGGAAGTGCTGAAGATCATAGCAGCCAACTGCATTCTTACCAGCACGGTCCTCTTAGCAGACTTCATGAACAAGCAATCAACAACACTCTCCAGCTCCACATTTCATTTCCATAGTGACTGGCCTGATCATCTCCTGCCATCTCTAGGGTTTTCTGATGTTAAGCTTTCGCAAATTGGGGATCCAGACGCCCACTTTGGGCTGTTGCATGATCCACAGAATGTGTTCAACAAGCTGCGCAGCCTGCCCAGATCATTACAAACGCACCCAGACGACGGAACACCATGTTGTCGCTTGTATTTGGTGAAGGCTTCCGGTTCACCCAGTCTTACTATTCCATAGAGGGTTAATATGCCATAAAACGTGATACTACACTTGCCTAACAATAATAGGAGAGGTGTAGGCATTGTTGTTAGTGTTGCCCTAGTAATACAAATATCATTTTGACAACAAAATTGCAACACGCGTCTGAGGTGTTTAATAATTGTCCGAGAAAGTCACAGACTTATACCAAAATATACTTCTATGTTGTGAACAGTCTTTTGTGGCATAACTCAAATTTTTTTAGGGGGAACATTTTATATTTCCTTGTTCCAATGACCAAAGTTAATTTTTATACGACATACTAGGGAGAACCAAATGAGACCAGCATTTAGGGAGAACCAAATGAGACCAATCTTTAGGGAGAACCATACAAGGAAAACAAAAAAATTGTTTGACACCCAAAGGACCAAAAAGTGATTTGCAGCATCTGAATCGATGGAGGTTTTCTTTTCACTAAAAAAGTAAAAGTATACTAGAGCCCAAACTTTCAAGTAAGTTTTGAACAAGGACTCAGGCCGTGGAAGCCCCATTTCTCCGTCTCCACCTATTTCGACTTGTTCACATGCACAAACCCCACACCCAGCATGGGGGGTGTTGGTTGTGGTGCTGCTGCGTGGAGAATTCAATCTACATAACATGCTCTATGCGGTAGCTCCACTTGCTATTTTGCACAGATGAACAACCCATCTTGCTATTTTGCACAGATGAACAACCCATCAAAAGAAAAATAGAAGAAAAAGTATCACGCTGATGCCACTCATGGAGATGTAAATATCTGATGACAATTCTGAGAGGTTGAACAAACTAGCCTGTACTAAAACTCAGCCAAAATGCTTGGCCAACAATTAGCAAAGTTATCAAACATAAACTATCAGAATTTAGCTCAATCTAACATTAATGACTAAAGGCATGTGAAGTATTTGGAAGACAACAGGAGCAGTTATGCATCCTTCCACCTATACATGTGTCAATTGCTGTTACACTTTTAGTATCAGATGATTGAAGTTCAAGTTCCATATGGTCTACATATGAGATACCATATACAACATTTACCTCGTGAGTTTCAGTTGGACAATGCCAATGTGAATGTACATCTGTGACATTGCTATTAGCATGCTTTCTCATAACAACACTCATATGCAGATAAAACATCCCAGAAGAAATAAACCAATAAATATTAGCATGACACCCGGTATCACAATTGTAGCTTTTCTTAGTCATGCACTGAATGAAAACACAGTTTAGAAGCGAGAATAGATACAAATCTTTTAAGCAGCCACCAGAATGCAGCAGAAGCTCACTGTTTACACCAGTGAACAAAGAGCCATAGGCCCATAGCAGCCCAAAAATATCTTTACTGATGGCCAGATTCGCTCCTAATGCATCACAGAGAGAGAGAGAGAGAGAGAGAGAGAACATCTAGCTTCCTGAAATAACCATTATAGTTTCATGAAATTTAGGAAAATCAGCCTTTGAATAGAATTATAAACCTCAGCTGACTGTCACCTCATTTTTTTTTTGGTATCATAACTGGTAACTACTACAAATAACTGGAAATATTTAAAATACCATAGCTTGTTTTTCATTTTGATTACGATGATGTTACCCCATGAGTTTCAAATCATCGACAAGCTTTATGGGTGTAGCCGAGTAGGCAAACAGTAACTAGTTACTGTTCTTTACTTTATCAGAAGAAGGGTTAAATCATTCATAGAGCCTCTGTAAAGATGATCAAGTAATAAACAGTTTTGACCGGCTCTCAGAACTCAACCAAGACACCACACAACAAAAACTCAATTCCTATAATATGACCAAGATAAAGAGGAACTTTGTGAAATCGGGACATACTTCCACAGTTTCTGTCTTTGGCTTCAAAGATAGAAGTGTTTGTAAAAGCCTCGTATAGGATATGAATGATCAAACTTCAAGGCAATCCTTGACACCATGTTCAAATTTGTTCAGGGCCGATATTGTATCCATGAGTGCATCTGCGAGCTTCTGTCTGCAACAAAGGATAGGAGTAGACTATTTAAGAAACGCACATTGAATATTTAACAGACTCGTGGTACAAATTCAGCATCTTCAGCAATAAAATGATATCAGCATCGAGAATATTGCTTAATGATACAAAACTAGATCACATTGAAATTGTTGAACTGAAGACAGCTCTGAATGTCAACTATAACTAAGCCACCTCAAACACAAACAAACTCACAGCTAATCTGCACAGTTGGGAGGAAGATATACGTGTACCACAAGAAAGAGCATTCAAGGAACATTTCAAGATCATACAATTTGATTAATAGCACTTCGAGATCAATAGGGTAATGATTAAATTGCTAAACTTTATACCCTAAACAAATTTATGCCACCAGATGTTCAAAATTGACAAAATATCCATTGCATAAAAGTCTTCATTACATTTTCCTATGCTACTACTAAAGATTATGAGTGCAATAAAGGTGGCAGTGGTGATAGGCTGATAGCCATTCATAGAGGACAAGTTTCAGTCCAGATTTGTTGTAAGGAGCACCTACTTCACCAACTTAGTACTTTAGAACCTTCTTTGACACCCATCATTTGGCTTTTTAAATGGAATTTATGACTGAAATTTAGGAAAATCCTACCACGAAACAAGAGCTATATTATGCAGTGTCAAATTGACTGTCAAAATGGAATGTCAAATGTAGAAACACTTACCTGCTAGAAGTGAGTTGCATATTGGTTTCACTTGCCAAACCATTGAGAAAGGAAAAAGATCTGCAAATATGAGGCAAACATTACAGTATTTTAAAAGCAACTGAGTAAGAGAATTAATCAGATTTGGAAGTCCTGTACAACACTTCCAATTATAATCTGTTCAGTTGTCGAACAATTTTTTTACCTACTGCAATTAATTCAATAGACCAGTATTATTTCATGAACAAACTATTCTCTCTCGAAAATTTTATTTATGATCCAATCAGTCATATCACCTATTCAATGAACTCACAGTAATTGGAAAGTATGTAAGCCGAAGATTCACAAATAATTTTGCAGTTCAACTGGCCAGGAATCAACTTCCAAATCATAAACATTCAATTACATAAGCAAAAAGAAAATATTAAACTACATTCTAACTTCATAGGTGTTCAGTACAAAAGTATTTTGCAACTTTACTCAGCTTGCCATATGATAGAGCACTATAGGCAAGCTCAAAGCAATCCTGGAATCACCTGCGAACATCTTGACATGCTACAAAATTCAAGTAATATGTCAAAGAAAATCATACAAGAAGTATTATAGAAATACCTTATGAGATCACTGAGAACAGCTTCAGCTTCCAATTTTACAGGATCTTTGTCACCAAGCAACGAAGCCGCATTTTTCATGACCAAACGGAATGTGCACACCTGAATTACAGAAAAATCAAACACGTGATATACGTTTTTTTTTTTCAAATATTATAATATTTCTTCCATTTCCAATTCTTCGTTCATTTATTCATTCTCTGTAAACTAGTAATGAGTTTTTATGGTATACCTCAATTGTGTTATAGGTTTAAATCCTAAGTAAGAAAATTACAAGGAAGAACAAGAAACCTCTACTCCTGTGCTAGCTTGAAATGAAACAAAAGAGTTTCTCTCTTCTGGAACGCAATCCCTAGCAGCTGAAATGAGCAACCTCTGAATTTCTTCCAATTCCTTGTCTCCATTATCGGTATTGTCATTCGCTGTTAATCAGCCAACCAATTCAATCAAATTGACGAATTAAAACAATCTACTATCCATATTTACGTGTATGTGTCTATGTGTTTATATAAAGAGAAGAGAGTGTACTTAGTAAGAGACGGGCGGTACGGAGGCTATTCCGAGAGGCGTCAATGGGCGCCAAGAGGAACTTGGAGGACTTCTTCTTTTGCTCTCTCAGCCAATCTTTAGGTCCTGCTGAGCGCATATCGAACAAAAAACAATCAGTAAATATGAATCAATTAGCATGTTTATAGGGAATTCAATGAATCAACCATTAATTGATAAACCAGGTGTGGCTGAGAGTGCGTACAGATGCCGAAAGAGAATGCAGCAGCCGGTGAGGGTTGGTGGAGAGAAGGGATAAGAGAGATGATCGAAAGCAAAACGGCGGCGTCTCTGCGAGAGATCTTATCAATTCTGAGCTGAGGCCGTTGAATCTGGTGATGCTTTCGTTCACATTGGGGAGATAGTAGTGGTGCAATGGGCGATTTTGGCGGCAATGGGGAGGAGAGAGAGATAGTGGAGGGGATAAGGGGGGAGAGTCTCGCTGGTGACATGATAACGTTGGCGCATAATCGATGAGTGTGCAGTATCTGTACGCCCCGGCACGGCTGTTAGTTAACGGTGACGGGTTTATTTAGTGAATAATTCTTTTATTTTGTTTATTTCCTTAAAAATAACAGTTAAATTTTAAAACATGGAGATGCGGGGGATCGAACCCCGTGCCTCTCGCATGCAAAGCGAGCGCTCTACCATTTGAGCTACATCCCCAACTTGTCATTCCAACTTCCTGCTTTTACCTTCATTCTAATCAAATATTGGCTATTGCTGTTATGGGAGCTCATGTTGGTATGTAATGATTATATCATACCACGCTAGCAAAATCACATAATCTAACCGTCTAATAATAATTCAAGAAATTAACAAATGCTGATGTGACAAAAGCTAACACAGGCCATCTCATATGGGTTAAATGACAAATTAAAAACTCTAATTCAAGTCAAAAAACGACACAGAAGCCTCTATAACCTAACCCCCGAGAAGTTGGCCTTACAAGCAAGAATGATTTTATTTAATTTGTAATTTAGTGTTTTGTTAATGTTAGATTTTCTATTTGTATATGAATATCTGCAAATTTATGTGAGATGTGTGGGTTTAATTTTGTGGCCTTTTATTATGACTTATGAGATTAGGGATTTGAAACTCGGGGATTAATGCTGCAACATGAATTGGAGAGCTTGGTTTTGAGTTGAGCTCGAATTCAACTTATGTCTCAAAGTTTAATAGCCAAGCTCAAGTCTCATGATACTAGAACTTTATAGGCTTAACACTATATTATTTAGAGCAATGCTACAGGGACCTTATTAAGGGACCTAATGATGTGGTTTCAATACAATCACTGAATTAGTTGTTAGTTCTAATGTTAAATGGAGCCCACAACCAATCTAATAATTATCTTACATTAGGTCCCCAAATTAAATCCAAATAACATTTTCGTATTATTTAACACCCCTCTGTGAATGGCAAGCCTTACAGCATGGTAATATATGCAAGGTCCAAGTTTCACTGTCAGTCACTAGTATGGTCTAAGTTGCAGTACGTCTCTAAACGAAGCATTTCTTAATTAACCCCCTAAACTATGCCATATGAGCTAATGCGAGGCTTATGCCAATATCTATCAGTAAAGCACATGCATGCTTGTGTGATTTTAAACGACTAAAAACTAATTGTATGTGTCTCCTAGTGGAGCAGACATCAAACTTCCTCCAAGACAAAATGTGCGTGGCACACGAGTAATTTACAAGCACATATGATTTTGAATAATTAAGTCAGTCTATCATTAGAGTGACTGAAGTTTAATTAGTTCATATTTTTTTACGCTAACCAAGGTTAAACTAAGTTTTCTCTCATTCTTCAATTTGTATTTGGAAAGCTAAATAACTTATTTTTTGATTGTAAAATTCTAAAGAAGACTTGCTGAATTTCAATATTAATTTTAGATGTTATTTTTTTAATTATCTGTTTTTTTTTGTATTAAACAGTGCCATTAGAAAGAGACGACTCATATGACAAGGGGGTCAATTGCTAAAAAATTTTAGTAGTGTATGAGACGACTCATGTATAAATTAATTATTAACATGTTAATTAAGTCATTAATTATAATTCTATATAATTGAGGGTTATTTTTTTAAATATATATATATATATAAATAAATAATAATTTTTTTTATTAAAATAAATAGATGAACCTCAAATATAGATTTTTCACATAAAAACAAGTTGAATAACTATAATACAAGTCAAATTTTGTAACGGTCATGATGGCCAAATAGTATAATACATGAATAACATTTGTGTCTCGTGTGATATATATCCGCGAGTGATACTAGATGACAAGTGTCTATGAAAAGGAATGGCTAAATTAAAACCGTGTAAATATTGTAAGTGTAAGAAAAAACAAAGAGACGTGGACAAGGGGATGGACAAGTGTTCATGATGACATAAGGAGAATACCGCGGAAGTGATGTGAGGAGTCCGACTTTGGGCTATAAATAAGCTCACGTCACAGCGAGCAAAGGCAGGAGAAATAAGGGTTAGAAAAAAAAAAGAGAAAGAAGGAGAGAGAAAAAAAAAAGAGAGAGAAAATGAAAAAAAAAAATTTAGATTTTAAGGTCAAAAATTAAACAGTAATTTTATTTTAGATCGTTATTGAATTTGATTATTTTGTTCATGATACTTTAAATTTCACATCTGTTAAGAGTCATTGATAATTTGAGGTACGAGGTAATAAATAATATACTCTTATTTTTTAAAATCTCTTTATAAAAAGTGTAATTTAATTGTCTGAAATTTATATTCTTATTGATTATTCTGATTGATAAGAAATTCTATCAATTTTATTGGTTGATCTATATTTTGAGTTAAATACTTTAGAACTGATTGGTACACGTACAAAATATACTTGAAGCATAATTGGTAAAATATAATTATGACATTTTGGGGTGTAATTTGTGATTATAGTCCTATGAGTTGTGATTGATTAATATGAGCATGAATTTGTATGCCTACGTATCACTTGTCATGTTATCAAGAAGAACCAAATATGAGGCTATGTTTGATAGCAGTTGAGCTGTGGTCTGTTGAATGTGATCATTAATTTCGTTATCCGTGATTTTATCATCTAAATTATTTGATATTTAGTCATTCATATTTCTCTTAGTGAGCATATTGTTTTCTATCATATTGTATATTTTTCCGTCTTTAATATTTTTTATCAGGATAATCTCTAAGGTAATTATCAAAGTTGATATTTGAGGAATCGAAGATAAACTAATCTTAATATAATTTTTAAATTTTATTAGTATTTGGAGATCAAAATTTTGATTATAAATGTATTGAGATAATTAGAACTCTGTCCCAGCATTTCGAGATACTTTTTGTGATCAATTGATTTAATTAAGTAACGCTTCTAAAAAAATGGGGCATTACACTTTAAAACTTGACCTATAATTTGGGGGGGAAGACGGTGAAATTGACCCCTACTATTGTATGAATATGAATATATGAAAAAAGGGGTGGGAGCAAGGTAGAGCATCCAACAACCACCCCGATAAGTCCTCACCGATGGGATTATGAGGCTCCTGACCGTGCCTAGAATACTACTCGGAACAAGACTTAATTAGGTTAGTATAGTGATTAACCATCAAATCTCAATAAAAACTTAAAGACTTAAACTCTTAATCTCAAAGTGAGAAGTAAATCTGACACCCCACGGGACCGCCCTACTTGATGGAACATAAAACCTATATGATAATGTGCAAAATAGATATAATACAGAGGAGACAGAATCGATCCAATTGCTTCACTTGTTCCCATCATCTAAGAATCAGAATGGCATTGGATGCATGCATTCGGTGAGTCACCCCATCCATTTATTTTTCGGTTAATACAAAATCACATGTTTTTTTTTCAAATAAATATAAGAAAAAGAGTGATAATGAAGAGATCTCATTATATCCAAATCTTATTGTTTAATAAATCAAGAAAACGATCATTCATTGGTTTAATTAATGGATCTTATATTAACGAGATTCACAACTAATTCACCCATAATAATGATTATAGGTCAATAAATAGGTAAAAGTATTAAAAAAAACTCGAACTTATAAGTATTCATATTTCATTAATTCTCACGCATCTGATCTTTAGTCGTGGTACAACAAACATTGATTCTCATTTCTATCCGTATATATTTTTAATTTAATTATTTAACTTTTAACGAGTATTAATTCAAACTATCTCTCGTAAACAATAGGGTGTTCAATGTTAAATGGATGGAATAATGTTTTAGAATAAAATAATTTAGAGTTCTAAAAAAATTAAAAACTGAAAAGAAAAAACTTTCCAAGTTCTCCTTTATCTAATTTAATTAATTTTTATGACAATATAATTTATGGTTTTTTTTGAAGAAAGTGGCAGAAAAAAAAAGTCACATGTTATTACGAGCATTTTTTTTTGTTTGGCGAAAATTTTGACTACTGTTATTGATTGGCTGAATTAGAATATGCTAAAAGTTTTAGAATAAAATTGCAATAAAATTTAAAGATGAAAATGTAAGTTGAGAGAAACCTCAGGGATGGAAAATATAATTTAACCTCTATGTGATTTTAGAGTGATTACAAAATTTTTTGTGGCTAGTCTAAGTAACGAGTTATAAATTCAAATATTTTGAGTTTAAATCTTGACGATCTTTTATATTCAGACAATTAGAGATTTATTTCTCATGAATATCTTAATTTTTAAATGAATGATATGTCTTTGACCGGATTAAAAATTGAATTAGTCGGAGTGTTTGCACCCTCATAAATATTTTAATTTTAACATGAATAATCTATCTTTGACGAAATCGAAATAAATTAATCGACGTACAAATAAATAAACCGATTCAGATACGCTGACTAAAAAAAATTGGTGGCCGGGGAAAAACCGTAGGGCCAAAATGGATGAATTTTCTAGGCCAGTAGATAATGCGCACAGTTCACATCCATGGCCCCACGGCCGCTAAAATGCGCCTCCTCCATTCCGCTCGCAAGCTGGCAGTTTTTCTGTTAAAAACTCTCAGGAAAAAAAAAAAAAATTTAATAAAATTTCCACTTCCCTCCACCGCGATATACCGGCCGGAACCACACGTTAAACACCACCACAACCACCATCCTCTTCGACGCAAATTATCGCCACCGGTTAACCCCAACCACAACCACCCAAACCCACGTGTCGGTGTTACACAATCTTAACCTTAACACCTCAGCTTCCCCTAACCAAAAATACGAATAGCATTTCAAAGATAGGAATTCGGTTCCGTCCCGGAATGGACAATCCAGTTTCCACTCGGAATAATCCTTTCTTTTCCAAAACTATCCGAAGAATTTTCTTTTCCCCCTTTCCTATACCCCCAAACAATCATTTTTGTTAATATGGTACTACTTTAATGTCTCCTACAACTAAGTCACCAAGTTGTAATCCCAAATCACTAACAACCAACACGACGACGCTACCTATTCCAGAATCCAATTCCATCTGTCAAATCCCATTCTATATAATCATTCCAAAATGTCTATTTAAACCAAGGATGCGAATCCCTAAGAGACCCGTCTCTTTTTGTCTCTCCATTTTCTCTCCCGCTGAAGTTATTTTCTCATCTTCCCCTCCTCATTTATCTTCTAGAGTTCTTGGTTTTCATTCAGGAATTTTGGCTTCTTGTCTCCCTTCAAGAAGTTTCTACCATTCTCCAAACAAAAGAGAAGTAATTTGTTTTAAAGGTATAGCGTTTTTTATGTTATTTTGTTTGAACTCGCCTGCTATTTTCTTGGTTGTTTTTTATGAGTTTTTCAATTCTAGGGTTTTTGATTCGACTATTGGGTTCGTTACTTGGTGTCCCGAAGAGGTGTGACAATTAGTGTACTGTTCATACTGTTTCTTGAACGTTCATTGCATGCTTTGTTGTTTGAGTTTCTTCGATTTTTTTTATTTTTTTTTATTTTTTGCATGGTATGGGTGGTTTTTAATTTGGGTGAAAATTGGCATAAAATGGGTTATAGCGTCTAAATCTTGTTTGGTTGGAAAATTGATGTTGTTGGTTAACAGTAGCATTTGAGTACATAAACTCCATAAACCACGTTATAAAGACTGGTTTGGTGTCTATCTATAACAAGTCACTCATATTATTGCAGGAATTTGAAGGTAGTAAGGATGAAGTTATTACTGAAAATAGAGCTAACTCTATAATTTGATATGTAACTGAGCAGTTCATAGATCTTTAAAATGGTTTTAGGTTGTGATATGACGATGACTCTTTTATTAGCCTTATGGATGTTTACCTACATATGTCATTTAAAATGCTCTACAGAGTATACCTATCATTAGTCAATGTTTGCTGCTGCAGTAGCGTTTTTAATGAAAGAACCCTCCTTTTTTGTAGTCAAGGTCAAATTGGGAAATTTAAGATTTTGATGGATGGCAAAAGATCAGAATTGGCAGTGAATATCATGGAATTAACATTAAATCATTTTCCTTTCTCATTTGAGATTAAAATTATCCATTATTGCGTTGTATGTATGAGTGCTGTAGTTGTCAATTTGGCTTTTATTTTGATCTTGTAGCTGATAGGGTACTTCTCCTATTGGTTATTAGTGTGTCATACACTTGTTGATTTACATGATTTGATAAACGTCAATGCCATTATAGAGAACTAAAACTATCACCACCTTACTCTTAGTTTGTCCAAGGGGTTTAAATTTGCTATTGCTTTCCCCTTCGCGGTGTCAACTTGCCCTTGTATTCCCCATCCATTCTTGAGAGAAGACAAATTTTCTATTCAAGCTGCTAGGAGGTTTGAAAGTTATTACGAGGATACAGGGTCATTGTCTTTATGAAACAACGCTTACTGTTAGCCATGTGTCAGCTTTGTTGTACTTAACATATCACTGTCAAATATCTTGGCGAGTCTAATCTTCACGGATAAGTGCTATTCATGTGCTTTCTGTAAACGATGTACGTCCTCGTGTGACTTCAGTTTCAATGCACTATGCAGTGATGATGTGGACGAAAATTTAATGCTTTCCTCAATGCTTATATGGACATTAATCATCTTGTTATATTTTGCTGAACCTATCAGGTGGTAATCAGTTGCATGCCAGTTATACAATGGACGGGACTAGTGTAGATGACAATACTGTACAGGTGCAGAGTAGTACTAGCAATGATGGCGTTCAGGGACCGTGTATATGGTCATCTCCCCAAGGAGGGCGTGACATCGAAATAGGGAAACAAATTTTCTGCAATAGATCTCTAAACATGAAGAACATTGTTTCTGTTGGGTTTGATATGGACTATACCTTGGCGCAATACAAACCTGAGACTTTTGAATCTCTTGCATATGAAGGCACTGTGAGAAAGCTAGTGTATGATTTGGGATATCCTCCAGAGGTTTGTCCACATTTTCAATGATCTTGCGCCACTTCAGTTGAAGTCGGCTACCCCTTGTTTTGTACTAGGTCCATGGATAGCAGACACATAGGAACAAACACTTGAATAGCTTTGGAATGAAGTTAATGAATTTTGATTTATGCTAAAGTTTGAAGCCACCTACATATGAAGGTGATTTTTAGTGTCTCTCCTTTCTCCAAAAGTTAGTGCCTTATTGATTCTGTCAGAAGCAACAATGTAATACAACCTTCAGTTTGATCTGTGCTGATTAAAATGAAGTTCTTTATTTCTTCTACAAATTACTTGTGACTTCAGCATTTGAACCAAAAACCAACAGGTTAGTTGACTTGATACATTTTTGTGTAGTTGTTGGAATGGTCATTTGATTGGAAGTACATGGTCAGAGGTTTAGTTCTTGACAAAAGGAGGGGCAATATATTGAAGGTTTGTGTTTCTCAGTTGTATGGTAGAGGTGCTTTTATGTAGATATATCTTGACAAGTTCTACACAATTTTGTTGTTTATATATACTTTTTTGTTTTGCTTATTTATCCCATAGATGGATCGGCATAAGTATGTGAAAGTAGCATACCATGGATTTAGGGAGATGTCAAAGGAAGATAAAGTTGCTACATACGGCAGCACTTTGACACGAGATGCGTTTGATGAACCTGACTATGCACTCATTGATACCCTTTTTTCGCTGGCTGAAGCCTACTTATTTGCTCAACTTGTTGACTTCAAGGACAATAATCCTGGAAAAGTTCCGAGAGGTGCAGAGTAAGGAGGCACCCCATTAAACTGTCTAATATTTTGCAAGTAGTGGCAAGTTAATTTCTCTGTATCTCTTTCTTTGCATTTATTAACCAATGCCGGTACAATTGGTCTCATTTGGGTTAGAGCAATGATTGTTTTTCTTTAGAGTATTTGCGACAGCTTATTAAGTTTTCCATTTATTTTCCTATTTGTTTTTCGGTTGTGCAACAAACTTTACTGAGACTTTTGCAAAGAGAAAGACATTTCCATTAGGAAGAAGACACACTCACACACAGAGGCCTTTGCATACACAGAGACATACACACAGTATTACCAGTTGCCAACTAAACAAAGATTTTGCTTGTGGGTCTTGTATGTTTCATCAACTATTCTTGCAAAGGAACAAGCTCTGAATGGCGTGTCAATTATAAAATGACCTCATTGTCAATGTTGAATTATGCACGAGGACCAGCTATGCCATCACTACATAGGTGTTCAATTACATTGAACAGTTCAGTGCATTAGAGCAATTGACTGCCTAACAAGGCAATTTTCTTGTCATTGATGAAGGTTTGTGATTTCGGTATAACTCTAATATGCCTTTATGGTTAAGTCTGAGTGCTTCTTATGGTAGAAACTACATGCTTTTGCATGTCATTTAAGATAAGAAAAGTAGCAAGGTTTCTGGAATTTTCCAAGGGTAGATATCAATTCTTGTGTTTATAAACTCTATATCCTACTATACGAATTGTATGCAATGGCAATCAATTCATACTTTAGGTATGATTTCTGCCTAGTCCTTATGGCAACTGCTCAATTTTTGGTGACTCATTAATTTATGCCAAGTTTCACATGGATTTAGTAATGTCATTGTCTTTCTTTTTTATGAAGCTCACGATTCAATTTTGATAGTTATGGGCTAGTAAAAAGATCAAAAAAATGTATCATATTCAAACAGCTCATCTTGAATTGGCATTATGATGAACAAATTCCTCAACCAAATAATTTATTGCCATTTATGTATGGACTCCACATTTCTTGCCATGTATGTATGGGCCCCATTCTGAGTGCTGATTTTTGTATTACTATTTGAGAGGCTTGTAAACCGATTTTCATATGAATATCATTTTATATTCACCTTCCATTTTAAGGTTGATAATTTGTCCAAGAAATGTGGGATCGTTGAGGTTCTCTAAGAAATTTGTGGGAATTGATAGTACTTGACAATTTGCCTATAAACGAATGAAGGTAGCATGATGCAATAGGAGAGACAAAACAGGAAGCATAATTAAGCAAAGACCTTTTTATATCCTGATTTGCTTTTATAAAATTATTTCGTAATCAATTCAAAGGAATTGAATTTTATTAGTGTTGTAGAAGTCTTGATAGTGTGGGTCTGAGAAGTACGGATATGGACACGAAAACGAGACACAGATACGATACGACACGGATATGACATTTTTAAAACAACAGGACACGGACACGTTGGGCACACACTATAGATAATTGTATTTTATATATAAAATCATATAATTTATGACAAATATAGTGATAATGATATATTATTCACAAAAAATTCAGTACCTCATGATAAATAAATGTTATATCTAGTTTTCTAATATAATAGTCAATAATAATTAATTTTTTCGTAGAAGTGTACTAAAGATATATAATTTAAATAATTGCTCTAACTTTCTCAATTGCTCTTTTCTGAATCTTTAATGTATCTTCTGCTATTGTTATTATATTTTGAACTTTAACATGTCTAGTCTTGATAATTGTATGTTTTCACATAGTATAAAATATTTAGTAGTCAAATTTTTAGGTTTTGCTAATCACATGTTTATTATTTGATAGTAGACAATCTAAAGAACGGTCGGACACGTGTCCAAAATTAAAATCTTATCATTTTATTATGATAACGGATAAAAGAGTATCGGATATGTGTCCAAAAATGTTTGAATAGTGTCGGTGTCTAACACAGATACGTCACCTTCTTGAGAGTGTTCATGCTTCATAGCGTGGGGGTGTATATATTTCTCTTTATTTAATGCAAGTGATTATCTATGGCTGCAATGAATTGGTGCAACCAGGAGTGCAAGTTGATGCTATATATGTTGATATTTGTCTAACCGTGAATTTCTTAGAAGGAAATAAAGTAAAAAACTCACATGAGGATGCAATTCTAGCATACCCTATAGTTCTTAATAAAGCAATTTTTTTTGTTGATTTAATTTTCCAATATAAAGCTGTTATAGATCCTGTCTTAAAGATTTCATTCACAAACCCTACTAAAATTAAATCCTCACCAGGAAACAACTCTAGTATAATAAAACCTTTGCTACTAGCCGTTGGTGTGATGGAGTAGAAGCAGTATTGAACAATTGAACAATATGGAATTTTACTTGGAGTTGTTGCTACTTGCTCCAATAAATCTTTTCTCCACACCTGTTAGCTTCAGGATATTATGTGCACTTGATGTATTCAATGATTATTTTTTTTTCTTGAATCTGAGATTCAATGATTTATTGATGCTATGTGAAACATACTCGCAGCTATACTCGCATGTACAAAGACGTTCGAGCTGCAGTTGACTTGTGCCATCGAGATGGAACTTTGAAGCAGATGGTTGCAAAAGATCCTAAAAGGTATACCAAATCTACGGTTCCTATCTGTGTAATCGAGATGCAATGTAGATCAAATAAGGGAATCCTCTGGTAAACTTGCTGTGGGTCTTTGTTGTCGATGGCAAGTATGCATATAGTAGCATAATGAGAGGGGCTCTAGTGTAATTGGCAAGTAACTTACCAGTGATTTCTCTGGGGCAGCGGGTTCAGTTATTATTATAGTTCTCTCTCATTGGGCTCACTTGTTACTAATTGAGTGATTGTATCAAGTAGTGGTAACCTACTAAGATAACGAGAAATATCTTGTAAGTTGTAATGAAGACAAAAATTATGAGAACCTGATGAATAATCCAATAATAGTTTAAAATCAGTAACCAGGAATACATACCTAAATGCACAATCTTTTCTACGTCGTTGTAATAGGAAAGTAAAAACACAAAAGAATATTTGAAATAAACTCTGGAACAGCAAAAACTATTTGAGGTAACCTCTGCATTTTGATGATCTGTAACTATAACATGATTCTAGTGGCTGCCAATCTTGGAGCAGCTCATTGTGTTGCTTTTCCTTCCTTTGTATGGTTTTGTGTAGAGGCAGGCTTATTAATTGATTTTCCAAGCTCACAAGCTTAAAGTGTGTTATTAGATCGAACTTGGCTCACTAGATAAAGGAACTCACAATTTAGGTCGAGCTTGGCCTGAACGGCTGATTGAATGGAACGAGTCATAATTGAGTCAAAAAAGCAGCGTCCATTATCATACTGTGGTTGTGACTATTGTGCAATAAATATTGCATATCTTTTCGAGCAAATTTTTTCTCAAATTTCTACGTGTATTATTCTGAAGATCTTCACGCTAGGAAAGTTCTAGTTGGGGCTTATTTGGGCAACAAGGAATTCATTTTCCTTGTGCAACAAGGACTATAGCATATGGTTCTATAAATAGGTCTTCAAATTATTAGTTGAGACCTTGTGAGACTTATGAGAGTGATGTAGGATGGGAGGACTAGAATTTAGAGAATAGAAGAAGAAGAAGAAAAAGGGAGCCTTGCAAGGAATTGACCAAGAAACACACAAAATTCTACACAGAGAAACATGTTAGGATGATATCACACACTAATCAAAATAGTGGGGATTACATCGATATTTATAGGCCAAGTCCTCTACCAAAATAAAACTATCCCCATACTAAAATTCTAAAAGAGTTTCATAATCAAACTCTTAACTTCTATACTACCAAAACTCTAAAATAATTTCCTAATCAAATTCTAACTAATAATACTAATACTAGTCAAACAAATACTTCTAAATCAAATAATAATAATAATAAAATTACCAATTACACTTCTTTTTGGACTAAAATCTTTTAGTCTTTCACTTATACTTCCAAAGTCGATTATATTGGTCCAACCAACCAATGGCTACGCTATAAATTCTTTCTTGCTAAAAAGAACTCGACTTCGGCGAGTAAGGTGGAAGACCAAAAATACATTTGATAGAGAAACTCTCTGAATCAAGAATGAACTCCTTTTCAATTACGATGTGCATATCTATAGCACTAGTAAGAGTATACTTTTTTCTCCCAATTGCATAAGAATAAGTATTAGCTCGCCCTGCATGTTGTGCATCACAATCTCATATTCAAGTGTACTCTAAAAATATACGACAAAGTTTGAGAGGCAACGCATCACCCATGACTGTCTCCATAAGGCTTCCAATGGTGAATGTAACTGGACATCTCTTATCAACTTTCATCTTGGTATTAGTAATCCATGCTACACGATATGGCTCTAGATGTGGTTCAACTTTCAAATTTAGTTTCTTTATAACCTCTTATGATACCACATTTGTGCAATTTGGTGTCAATCACTAATGAGCATATCTATCCTTCATAACTAACTATTGTCTAAAATATTTTTTCTCAATGAATACACTCATCATTAGCAACTTTTTTGTTAGCAATAAATGGAGGACGAACAACACCCACAAAATGATAATCTTCCAAATTATCAAAATTAATCTCATCCACATCAAGAGGTTTTACAATCTCAATTTCAACTTCTGGCTTATCAAAAACATTATGCACCTTGGAATTTTTCTTTTTAATCATTCCAACCGATTTTGAAGGGCATTGAAAAGAGAGATGACCAAAACTATAACAATTAAAACATTTCGTCTTAGAAATAGTACTCATTTGAGAAGAAGAATTAGTACTATACCGAGATGATTTATTTGGAGTAAAAGTATTCTCTTTGGATTTATTGGTAGACTTTCCTTGACTTGCATATATGATAGTTCTTTCGATCTAGGTTGGAGTTATCATAGAAGATCTCTTTTTCAACTCATCTTCCATTTGATAATTAACCTGAACTACATCTGCGATGGTGAAAAGTCTACTTGTAGCTAAGCTGGTTGAAATCTGTGTATTGAGACCTTACCTAATCATGACAATCATCATATCTTCAATTCATGAGAACTTTGATAGGGTGGCCAAGCTATAGAATTTTTCGGTGTACTCCTACTCACATACTTTATTGATTCAACTGTGTGAACTGTAGATGAGCTCATTGCTTATAATTAATAGGCACAAAATAGGGAGTCATAACAGTCTTCATATCATCCAATGATATATCAAAGTGAGTTTTATTAGAGTGTGTTGGTACTTTACCCACCAAAGCCTTGCTACACCCTTTAACTTAGATTCTGCAAAGAATACTTTCCTCTCATTAGTCGATGCCATCTGAAGATGCTTTTAAGGCTATGCAACCAATCAAGGAATACTTCGGGATTATTATCCCCGTGAATATCTCCAATCTCTAGCTTAACCTTTTTATCAAAATCAAATAATTTTTGATCTTTTTTAACTGGGCTTTGTGGTAGAGGGACTTGTGCGAGCAGTAGTTGTTTATTGAGAACCGATGAGGAGGATCTCCACTCCTTTACCCTTTTTTATCTAGGACAATGCCATCAAGGCTTTCATATTTTCTTTTATTGGGGTGATAGATGCTTGGAGAGAATCCATTATGTGCTTCAACTCTAGCCCTTAATTCGGTATTGGTCATTATCTTGATTGGAGTGAGTTTTGAGAAATTTTTTAAAAATTTTGGGGTCAATTTATAATTTTAGAAAATTATAGGGCCAAACTGTAATTTCTGTATCAAGCATAAAGAGTAATTTTTGAAACTTAAAAGGTAAAATATGTAATTTTAGAAATGCTTGGATTGTTTGTGTAATTTCAGAAGTGCTGAGATAGATCCAAATTTTTTTTTGTGATTGGGTACTGTTGGGCTGGAATTGGGCTAATTTTGGGTACGTGGGTTACATATTGGGAATTGGGCTGGGATTACGTTTTAAAAGACACGGGACAGGTTGGATTTTATAGCCTAGATTCAAATCTGGAACAACTCTTCTTCACGCTAGCGGCAACACTCCAGAAATTAGACAACTCGACAGTAAGATATGACTATGATAAGAACAATAATGACATATGACGATATCGATGGATGGTTAAATTAATGACAACAAACAAAGAAATATAGCTATAGAGGGATGGATTGAGGGTTTTGCTTTGATACCAAATTCATTTTGGACAGGATGACTAAATTTAGAGAATAGAAAAAGAAGAAAAAGAAAAGAAAGGGAGGTTTAAATTATCCTCGCAACGAATCGGTCAAGAAACGCATAAAATTCTCCACACAAATAATTTTTATTATATCACACACTCTAATAAAAATAGTGGGGATTACATCGATATTTATAGGTTGAGTCCCCTACCAAAATAAAATTATTCTCCAACTAAAATTCTAAAAGAGTTTTATAATAAAACTCTTAAACTCCTATACTCTACTAAAACTCTATAATAATTTCCTAATCAAATTCTAACTAATAATCTTACTTAAACAAATAATGCTAAAACAAATAATAATAATAAAACTACCAATTACACTTCCCTTTGGATAAAAAATTTCTACTCTTTCGCCTAGACTGCCAAAGTCAATTGTAATGGTCCAACCAACCAATGGCTGCGCCATCAGAGAGACTACTCACCGAAGAGATGGGCGAGACATCAGATGAGTGAGGTGGGGATTGCTTCTATGAAGTGGTCATCCATTGTCACAGACACGGTTGTCCCAACAATCATAAAATAATGACTCTTGAATCCTATAACGGAGTTTGTGTTTCAGTGAATGGATGGATGGAATGCTGTATTGACTTCCTATGTACATAGTAGTTCGTCAGTTTTGTCCATATGCACACCAGTTATAATGCAGTCAAGTGGAATTGCAAGAAGACTGCCAGATAATTCATGTGAGACTATAAGTGGTTGAGAATGTTGGTAATTAAAAAAACCCAAAAGAAAAGAGAGCCTAAAGGATATGTGCAGGACCTTCTCCTGCTGGGATTTAGCAAAGAATTTGTTTGGCTAGTTAGGAATGCAATGCCAGTCAGATACTTGTTTTAGACACATTTTATGGAGGTCTGGTCCAAAGGCTTTAAGAACTCGTGTAATGGATTGCTGAGAATACAGTTGGATGAGACTTAGGGTCGACTATTTCATCAGGAATCATGGATTTGTCCTAATTTGTTGAAATGAACATAGGTGCTGACTGCTGATGAGAACCCTATGAATTTATTTTGTGAAAATTCATTTGTTAGCCTTTGAGTTGTTTATTTCTTATTGAATGTCAGTTATGATTGTACAATGATTATTGACTAACTGAAGATTTTGCATAAACCATATTTGTCACTCGATCATTATGCTATGCATGTATCAGGTATATTAATGAGGATACCTCAATAGTTCCAATGCTAAAAATGCTTAGAGATTCAGGTCGTTCAACATTTTTGGTGACAAACAGGTAAGGAAGTTTTTCTTTGAATGTTTTCTGTGTCAAATTTGTTTTAGAAATTCATTGTAAGCATAATAAGTAATATGATATATCTTGTTGTTGGATGATGCGCCAAATTAACTTCAAATGGGAAGAAGATTTATGAGTCAGTATGATGTCCAATTTCTAAAAATACAGAAATCTGCGCAATCAAGTATATCTTGTGCTCTAATTTTGCCTTCTAGTTTACATTTTTCTAAGCCGCTTTTTGAGTAGTATTGGTATGATGTGTTTGATGCTTCTCAATTAGTCAGTGTTCTTGCACCATATTTGAGATCGAGTCATAGTACTCCATGGAATAAATCTTTTTGCATTTTATGCTATCTTTATCTTTAGTGGCAATAGTTCCATTTAAGTAGGCAACTTTTCCCAGACAAGAAAGAGTAGGCAATTATTGCCGCTTCTCTGTTCTGCAACTTTATATCTGTTTGTTTTAGAAACATTACATGATATCATGGGCTTTTAAAACACTTCCTCATAAAATCTCTGACAGTATGCCAGTGGGAGAATGTTTTTATAAGTTGAAGATGTTACATTGAGAATCTTCATTATGCCTAATGCAGCCTGTGGGACTATACAAATATTGTTATGAACTTTCTCTGTGGGCCCTGTGCTTTGGATGGTAGTTCCAACCTCAGTTTTGAATGGCTTCAATACTTCGATGTTGTCATCACCGGCAGGTAATGTTTGTTCTTTAAACATTTGAGCCTTTTAAACACTTAATGTACTGTTTTCTGTTTTCGATCCCCTTGGATAACTAGAGCAAATCCTGAAAGAGCGACCATGGGGTTGGCAATTTGCCTATAAACTATGTATTTACTAACAACAGTGCAGTTAATCACAATGCTTTGTTAAATGGCATTATCATCATCGTTTTGTTTCCATTATTTGACCTGGGATTGATTGTTAATTTTTTTTTTTGTTTGTTGTCAGTGACATAGAGGCAAATTAATTACAGATATGATATGAAATACACGCAGGGGGCGATAAGCAATATACCAAAACTAGAGTTATAAGGTACCCGGTGGGTGGGTGTATTTTATGTTTTTTTTTTTTTTTTTGGGGGGGGGTGGGGATGCAAGCAGGAAGAATGCATATGTAAAGTGTACAACATGCTTATCATCAATATACTGTATGCAAGCAAATAAGATATATATGCTAATGTTATACTATGCAAAAACTAATCCACTGAATAAAGATGCCATACCTCATTAACATTGCATCTCTGTTGGCTATCTCTTATAGTCTTATTATGCAGCTTGCGAAAGCATCTATTGGTGACTGGAAGAATGGCTCACTCCTTTGTTGAGTTTCTTGTGATAAAAAACCAATAAAATGTTTGATTGTGATGAAATAATTTGTCAATGTTAAACATTGCGACTTCACAGCGTGTCACCTTCCGGGGAAAAAAGCTTCACAGTATGGCTATGGAAGTTGGTGTTAAGTTATGAATGTTCTTACCATTCTTTGCATAAATTTTTTGCTTAACGTTTTTGACTTATAACCACAAAGAAGCTACTATCTGTGTACACAGTGCAAAGCCAAGTTTTTTCCATGATGAAAATCGTGCCAATCTTTTTGAGGTTGAACCTGAGTCTGGTATGCTTCTTAACACTGATAATGGCACTCCTATGCCTCAGGTTAGTGTCAATGTCTAATGATATTTTCCAGTGTATAGTAGTTTTATCTGCTTTCTTTTCATCATATTAGGGACTTATTTTTATTTTCATTAACTAGGTGGGAAGTACTTCTATAAGGCTGCCACTTCAGAGATCAAAAAGTACTCGCAGAATTTTCCAGGTATATTTGAAGACATCCCTATGTTTTTATTCACATGATGAGAGAATGAGAGTGATGTTATTGAACCTGTATTTCAGGGAGGCAATGTCGGTCATCTGCATAAACTACTGGGTATTGAGTCAAGTTCACAGGTGATGTTAACATGCACTGGTTGAAAATTCCCTTACTTATTTAGTTTCTTTTTTTTTATTGATTTCTAGATAATATTGATTATTGAGGTGCTGTCTTCTTTGCTCATTCAAATTTTTTGCCTTGGGATTTTTTCATATAGTTGGATGAGGTCTTTTGTAGAAATATATGCAGGTAAAAAAGTTTGGATTTTTTTGACTCGATAAATGATGTGTTGAGTATAATTTTTTAAAAGTAAACATGTAATCTGATTTTATCATGTTAGTTTACATGTTTTTCCGGCCATAAGCTTCTGATGGATTATTCTTTATAGTTTGAGATCTAATGTGTTTTTCAATTTTATAGGTTCTTTATGTTGGGGATCACATCTATGGGGATATTTTACGCAGCAAAAAAGTTCTGGGTATCACATTTTGTGTCCTTTTCCTATTCATTATAGCTCGTTATATTTCTTGTGATTGTCTTATCTTGTTGAAGCGTTATTAAACTTTTTTTAAATGGAATTGGATGGTGATGCATAGTGCTTATATTGGGTTGACAGTGTGCACCTAAAAAATTCTTGGCTGGACAAATATGGAAGAGCAATATAGAAACAAAACTTACGTGACATCACTGATGTGACTCTCAAATCAGAATGGGCGAAAAATTCTCTTCTTTTCGTTGAAAACTGTTTGGGGATATCTTTCTTTATGTTTCACTTGTAACTTTCAGGTTTAAAGAGATACTATTTCTTGGTTTTTCTTATATCTAGATAAATTATGCACACAAGATTTTTAATATTTATAAGAAAATTTTCCACAAATTTCTTGCTGCTCAACGAGACAGTTCATAGTGCCCATCTAATTTAAAACCCGGGGAACATATTAAAGTTTCTAGGAATGAAAACAATATCTTCTTTTGCAATTGGCATCTTGAAGCTGAGTTCTATTATGCATCTGGATGACAGGGTGTGAGCCTGATTTTAAACTACACAGCAGCCTGCCCCTCACACAATTTATGTTGTCTTTTCTTTACGAGTGAGAGGATTAATATTGTGATAGTTAAGAGAGGTGATTGCCATATTTCAATGGTCATTATATGCATTGTGAAGGGAAAAATTAAGCTAGAATGGGAGGCTTAATGTGGTTGATGTACTTGACTCAATGGGTGTTATCATTGTTGTTTGGATGGCTCAACTCAGTTGTTTTCATTGTCGTCGTTGTTGTTATGGTTATTCTTCTTGTTATCTGACTTAACAGGTTGGAGGACAATGCTTGTTGTTCCGGAGCTTGAGAGGGAGGTTGAACTTCTCTGGGAATTAAGGGATACACGCAAGGTATTGATACGACTAAAACATTTAGTTCATAAAAAATTATCAATTTTGAATATTCCTTACATTACATTTAGATATAGTGGTTTGAGGTTTAATTTCTGAACAAAGTTCCAGTCTTTCATGATCATATCCTTTTAATTTACTGAGAAAGCTGAAGTATCAAACTAGTGTGGATGATAAAAGTTGTGTACATAAATAGACCCCCCCCCCCAAAAAAAAAAAAAAGGCAGCACAGGCAGGCCCAAGAAAAGAGGTATTTCTGTCTTTATTTTTGGACAATTACCATTTAAGCTAGGAAGCACGGATACGGCTAGGACACGGCTAGAAGTGTCCTGAACAGTGAACTCAGTCGGACACGGCAAAGATACGTCTAGGACACGGCCAAGAATTTTTTATTAAAAAAAAACAACTTTTAACTATTAAAAATTTTCCTTTTTTAATATATTTTTTGTTACGTAACTTGCATACTATGAATGTTAATAAATGTAATGATATTTGATGAAAATAGTAGATATTTAATTTGATCTATTTCAATTTTAATCAAAAAAATAATATTTGCTAGATCTTATTATTAATATTGTTATAATATATGTTTTATTTTTAATATATTACAACTCTATTATTATTTAAAAAATATATTATATTATTTTAATAGCCGTATCCGTGTCCCATATTTTTTAACTTTGTCGAATCCCCGTGTCCGTATCCGTGCTTCCTAGCATTTAGGTAATCCAGGGTTGACTTCTCCAAGAAGTGATGTTGTCTATGTTTGATGACAACAACTAGTATTCCTACTGCCTCAAATATTAGCCATCCATATGGATGGGGCACATGTAGGGTGTCTGAGACCAATCAGATATTTTGCAGGGTCACTGTCCAGAAATTTTGCCCAAAATTATGTTCCTATATGGATAGTAATCACCACTGTCTTTTATCTTGGAAGAGCATGAATTCATATCTGTATTTTTGGTGTTGTTACACGTGGATATTACTCAGCTGTTCCTATGCATATCTGGCATGCCTTATACATTAGAATAAAGCTTTTGAAGTAGCAGATGGAGTATATTAGTAAGGAGTCAATAATACACATGCCACCCAAGTCTGAGATTTTTTATTTTTTTCCTTTGGCGGGTTTTTTTTTTGGTTGTGGGGGGGGGTGGGGGGGGGCGTGTTATGTTGTTTAGTTTCAGTTTCTTATGGCCAACTTCAGTTTTCCATTCTCTGTTGACTCCTAAGTTTTGGGTGATTCATGCAGCAACTTCGATTGTGGAGGAATGAGCGCGATCTCATTGAAGACAAAATAGATCATTTGAAGTGGTCTCTCAAGTAAGTATCTACACTTTTTACTGTTGGGTGTGCAAACTTTTAAGCATGTTGCCTATCATCTCTTATCTCTGTCCCTCTATGTTTTTTTGGCTTCTGTAGCTATAACCACCACATGTTGGCTCCAATTCTATAAACTATTGATATGTTTGTATTGGTACAGTATTTGAATCCATTGGTCAAAGCCATCTCTAGTTTAGAGACTTCTCAAATTTTCTTTATTTCTGTTAGAACATCTAATTTTCATAATTAGATATGGATGTTGAATCTCTTAACTTCGATCATTGTTCCCAAAGAATCTGGTGTGCATGGAAGAACAATTCGTTTTTTGTTGATTTATTGTTTTATATTTTAAGCTGTCATATTTTGGTTCAGGTTTGATGGTATGGATGGTGACGAGATGCAGAAGCTATCCTCTGAACTTAACAAACTGGAGGTTTGTCCTCATTATTTAGTGATAATGTAATTTTAAACACTTACACTTTTGGAACAAGAGGTAGTTTGAAGTCAAATATCAATGAAATAATGTTATTTTTGATATCCCCCATAAGCACAGTATGAAATGTCAACTTGTCGTGCATTATTTGTTAAGCTCTCACTGCTGCATGTCATGAAATTTGTCATCTGGAATCAAATCATGTATTATTTATTTATTTTTTCCTGATTTTGTATTTTGTAGTCTGAAAGGGAACAAGTCCGGCTCCGTCATCAACTGGATCAAAGAACATGTCACCAAAAGGTAAATTTACTGGAGGATTCTGTTTGAACTCTTGGACCTGGCAACTGATTCTTACACTGGAGTATTTCAGTATTACAGATTGGCAGCAAATCCTTTGTTTATTAATGAACTGTTATATGTATCATTCTTTATTATTATAATTACTATTTCTTTTTCAAAGGGATAGAGAGTTAGAGACCTTTGGTTGCGTCATTGTTTATCGACCCTTATAGGATTTCCATTAAATTTCTCACACTTATGTTTCATGTTGGTGAATATCTAGTAGTATATCTGTTTGATATGTTTCTCACCAATTTTTTTCAGTTCCACAAGGTTTGGGGACAACTAATGAAAACTGGCTATCAGAATTCTCGCTTTGCACATCAGGTCAGATTGATGATGTATGAAATGTTCTTCTAGCTCAAGGAGGATTACATTCTTATTTTGTGGTGTTTATCGACCCTGTTTCATTTTGGATTACGCAGGTGGAGAGATTTGCTTGCCTGTATACTAGCCAAGTGACTAATTTGAGCCTATATTCCCCCAGCAAGTATTATAGACCCAGCGAAGATTTCATGCCCCATGAGTTTGACATCCTTGGCGTGTGAAGAACGCCTTGTCACTGCAACTTTGTTAAGACATCACATTCAAAGGGTAATAAGTTGTGCCTAAGGCCAGCATGGAAGTGAAGCTTTCACAGGAGTTCTCTTCTCCTTGTTCTCATGGCAAATGCAAGGGAGTTGGTTGGTTACCCTTCAAAAGACCACTAATATTAAAGTTTTTTGGAACTGTGTTTTTAATGGAATTTCTTAGCCTGAACCTGACTATGGCACAAGCGCCATCATAGTAGTGTCTCTCCTTTTGTCTAATTGCAACCTATGAGAATTGCATTAAGCCTTTTAATCAATGTCGCGACTTTTAGACAGGGCCGATGAATCAATGGCTATACAGTACATGTCATTTAAGCTCTGTTTGGTTGACATTAATTGATAAAGACTGGTTATAGCATTTCCAGTAAAGGGTTGTTTTGATATCATGGTATCAAATAGCATCGTAATCCTATATTGAGCGTATAGTTGTTTAGCCAGCAAAATTGGTTTGGCATGTGAGGAGTTAGAGGGGGCCTTTGACACTATAATATTATTGGGCCAAAATTGGCTAAAACGTACTCTGGGTTAGGCCAACGGACTGCCCACGGGACTTCACATGATGGCCCGTACAGACCCATAACCCAATAGATTCCCTTGCTTTCAAGTCGCCCCAAAGCCCACGGGCGTTTTGCCACGCACCAGAACAAATTGTTAGACACAACTTAGAAATTTTGATTATTCCACGAGTGCTAAGACTAATATTTACAATTTTCAATCCATTTAGGCACTTTATATCTATGAAAAGTGCAAATTACAGATGAATCTTGCAGCTTGTATTCAAAAAAATAAACAAGCTCTTGGAACCAATAAAAACCTCACAATATCAGCAGCTCCACGCCCTGAACCACCGACACGAACCATTTTTCAATAGGACCTAACAACATAGGCTCCACCCTGACCTATAAATTCTTAGAATAGATGAAAAAGAATTGTAGATTCAGAAATGCTATTCACCAAGCAATAGAATTTATAGAAAGGTGGGTCACAATATTATGCCCAACTTTTGCTACCATTCATCCTGTTTCTATGTCGTGCACTTCAACTGGCTCAGGGAAAATCTCACTGGATGATCTTTTATGTGAAGATGATTGTGTAATTGCTCCACTACTATGAGAGCCTGTTCTTCCCGACTGCTTTAGGCCGCTGGTACCCTCTTTATTGGTTTCGCCTGAAGAGCTGTGACGCCAACTACCAAAAAAAGCAGCACTCCAAGACCTAGTTGATGAAGTTGTTCTTAGCCTTGCAGAGCTGAGATTTTCTTGTCTCACCACTTTGAAAGGGTTTTCCAGTGCTCTAAGGACATGTCTCATCAGAGGGCGTCTAGAAGGCTTGGGATTAAGGCATGACTTAGCCACTATTGCCACAGCCCACACCTCTTCCATTAGGTCCTCATCCAAGATCATAGATTGGTCGACAATCTTAGACACCAGTTCTTTCTCATTTATACTGATGAAAGGTAGATTGTGTTCCAACCACTCCTTTGTAGATGCATCATCTGACGTGCTGATGCCAAGCTTACCCGTTACAAGCTCAAGTAAGACCTTTCCAAAACAGTATACGTCGTAAGCACATATATTGGATGATGGTCCTGTTCATTTCCAGAAAGATGAAGCATATTAGTACATACTTTGAAGAAATAATTTGAATTAATGAAGTATATGCAGAAAATATGCCTTGAAGAGGTGAATGAGTGGCAAAGTCTGACAGGAGTCAAATTTTAGACCAATGTTTCAGTTTTCCTAAAATCTTTAACACCATTTCCGTTGCTAACCAACCAACCGTTAAATAGCACCCCTTTGCTAACCAATTACAAACTTACAGGAATAAACTACATATAGAAGAGAATTGCATTTACCAGAACCAGACCAGCCCTGTTTAGTGGTCCTGCACATCATCAAGAAGAAGCATTTCAAAACTTCGCCTAAAATGTTAAAAAGACAGTAATTTCATCATCAACAAAAGCAAAATATAAGTTGTCAACTAACTGCTTAGTATAATAATTTTTTAGGCAGAAATCACATTATCAAAGTATAATTTCATGAGGATGAACGTCAAGAAGCTCTTTGTATGTTCAATTCTACATAATATAAACATTTATGTAACCAAATGCATTTAACATGCAATTACCAAAACTTACTCCTACCAATGCTGCCACAGACAGGATATAATAGAAAAATTGGTTATAGACATTTAAAAAAAGAATGGGTCAATTGTTTTTTACCCTCCTGTGGTTTTAGCTAGAAGCACCTTACCTATTTGACGTTTAAAATTTTACACATTACTCCCTTATAGTTATGTACCAAATATTTTTTATAATTATTTTTTACCTCCCTTATAGTTATAGTTATAATTATAATTATTTTTTACCTCCTAGTTGTTTCTACTAAAAGCACCTTACCTACTTGACGTTTAATTATACACATAACTACAAGGGGGTAATGTGCATAATTTTTAACGTCAAGTGGGTAAGGTGCTTCTAGCTGAAACTACGGGGAGGTAAAAAAAAACTAACCCACAAAGAATAACAGATACAACAAGAAGCTGGCTTCTAATCTTGAATTAAGGGCAGAGGGGTTTATCCTTGGGCCTCTGAGAAAGGGGAAAGAAACCCTCAATTGGCCATGGTCCATTCAGGTTCTGGACAGCAGTTCATTACCAGACATGCAGTCTATATCCATAAGTCTCTTAGGAAAAACCCTGCAGATTTGTACAGGCTGTCACATATTCTTCAAATGTCTTAAGGAGTAGACTGCTGCAAATTTGTTCAGTGGATTCTTTCCTTGGAAGAGTTCATTTTTTCAGCAAGATCTAATATCATTGGATATATTTCAGGTATTGAATATTCAAAACCATGCCAATTCAGTAGCTTATGCAATGTTTTTTCAGTTATATCATACGCACAAATTCTTATACTAATCCTGCTTAATTATGGATCCTATATGGGCATTAGAGCATAACCCCAACCCCAACCCCAACCCCAGCTCAAGCATCCAATGGCATTTAGAGCCCATCAAACAAGAGGAGCAAGGTGGACCTTAGTGAGCCATGGATCTAACAGCCCATGTACGAATATGTTCTCCAAGGAAATGTGGTAAGTCGAAGCTCATGTAGTTGAAATAATCCAAGTAAGCAATATGGAAAACATAATGGTGTTTCAACCATATGTACAATGCAAAAAATGTATGAACAATTAACAACTCATATATACTTACTGTAGCCTTCGCAGCAACCCTGAAACCACATTCTGATGATTATCGACTCCGTGAGCACGGATCTCACTCAAGCTTCCAAGTCTTACTTCATATTTATCATCAAGAAGGATGCTGCTTGCTTGAATATCTCTTCAACCACAATAAATTAAAGAAAATAATTATTATGGGCACAGAAACACGTGGAGATTTGTGCACACTTCTTTCATATTAAACAAATGCAAAAAAGAAGTACAACTGCACTTGAAAGCATATGAGTACTATTAGTATCCAGAAAAGACACTTCTAAGTACAGAAATCTCTCTTGACCAGCATCCCTGAATGGTTAGCTTCATTCGAAAGAATAAAAAATCCAATTTCAGTCAGCACTCTACCAATGCATATTCTCACGTGCCTTATCCGGATGCAAGAATTAATGTACGTACTCCAAGATGCCAGCACAAAGATGCTCCAACCCTTCATGTGTAGTATCAAAGTGGAAGGACCTTTTTATTTGGTCTTTCATATGATAAATTTTTATTATCTGCTTCGCTAGGGCAGGGGCATGCAATGCCATTACATGTCTTGTCATTGCGAACAACATGCAGTGCCGCGGTTGTTGATAGTTGATACATATTTTTTATCTAGTAAGTTGGTCCTGATAGATTTTATCATCTGACACAAACATAGATACTTATTTGATTAATTGAAAGAGGCAACTGCCACAGCAGGTTATCGTAAAACTATAACTATGTTACACAAGCACATCTTGTGCACCCTATCTGTTTAGTCAGAAGTAAAAAACTCTAAAGTGATTGGAGTCCATACAAAATCAAAGCAGAATTAGACAAATGACATGCATCAACCCCCCCCAAACAAAAAAAAAAAAAAATACTTTTAAGTATCGCTTTATGTTAATTAACTTCATCATCCAAGGAAATGTGAACCTAATGCCAAGAGATAATATTTGGAATAATGGCAATAGAAGCCAATTTAATAGCATTCTAAATTACAGGTACAATATAAATGAAGGTAATAAGTGTTCATATGGAACCAAAAACCAAAATTAAGAATCATCACAAAATTAGTAGTTCGTCTCCCACCAAAAAAATAATAATAGAAAATACCCAAAAAAAGTAGTAGTAAATGTTGTGATACCTGTGAACAAGGGGAGGGTTACAATCATGGTGCAGGTAACATAAACCTTCTGCAGCTCCTATCGCAATTTTCAATCTTGTAATCCAATCCAGAGAGTGTGGACTGTCATCTTCCAAATTGGTAAACCTGTACAGGGAACTAGACAAATCTCCGTTCGGCATGTATTTATAAACCAATAGCTTCTCATCCTCCTGCTCCAAGCAGTGTCCCAAGAGTGGGACTAACCTTGTATGTGTAGCCTTGCTGAACACGTCCAGCTCCAATATGTAAGATTCTTTTCTGAAGGAACGCAAATCAACTTTCTTGATAACTACAGGTAAACCACCTTCCAATGTTCCCCGGAAGAGGTCTCCAGAGTGACCATGTTTGATGAGGTTTGTATCACTAAATTCATCAGTTGCTGCGAGCATTTGTATAAATGTAAATGATTCTCCCAGACCTGATAAACTAATAGAATCCTTGGGAGGTGTTGTGCTGACTCCTTGTGGAACAGGCCCCAAATTTGCACTCCCTCTTTGATTTGCATTTCTGTTTTGACATGTTTTCAAGAGCAGTGCCAACACCAATACCAATATCACAATGAAGCCCAGTCCACCAAAAATTCCCACCAGTACATATGTCAATCTCTTTTTGCTCTTTGAAGGTTCTGGCAACGGAGGTTGCATTGCATCTGGGGCACTTTCATCACGAAAACTTAGACCCCTGTCAGCATAAAACCTCCTACACTCCTCGAAACTCCTCTGGTTAGGCACACTCTGAAAGCAATTTATAGCAACGGTAATGTTTATTCCAATATCATTAGGAGCTACACCTTGAAAATAATTACCAGACAGATATATTGAACCAAATTTGCCTACTACAGAAACCAAACTTCCATAGAACTGATTGTTTGAGAAGTTGAACACTTCACCGCTGGCATTAAAAGCAGCAGTAAGGTTCCGAAAAACACCAGTGAAGTTGTTGTCAGACACATCAAGAAACCGCAATTGTTGCATTTTCCACAAAGCTTCCGGCAATGGACCCTCTAGATCATTATTTCCGATCAACAGTTTCTGCAAACTTCTCATCCCTCCTAAGTTCCCTGGTAATGACCCAGACAAAGAATTGGATCCCAAATTTAGTTCAATCAGCTGAGAAAGATTACCCAGCTGGACAGGAATAGAAGCATCTAGACTATTATTGTACAAATTCAAGAACTGAAGACTCCTAAGTGAACCAAAACCAGAAGGAATTGGCCCGGATAGGAAATTCGAAGATAGATCAAGAGTAGTAAGATTATTAAGATCTGAAAAAGTATTTGGAATTGATCCTGTCAATAAATTTTGCGAAAGATCAACAACAGCTACTGAAGAAAAATTCCCCAAAGTAGAAGGAATAGTCCCAGTAAGCGAATTATTTGATAAATACAGAGAATTAAGTCTACCCATAGTTCCAAATGAAGATGGAATAGGACCAACAATTGAACAAGACCTAAGATCAAGCACTTGGAGTGCCATTAGGGATTGGCCGAACCAGTTGGGTATAGACCCAGGAAGCAAAAACCCAGATGAATTAAACGACGCTAACAGAGTCAAATTGGCCAGAGAATCAACTGAGAACTGTGGGTTGAGACGGCCAAGTCGAGTTCTCCTTAATCCCGATAAGTTCATCCCGATAACCCTGCCGTTCCGGCACTCTATTCCGGTCCAGTTCGAGCAAGGATCAGACTTTTTGGGCCAGTCTTTGGCTCTAATACCTAACGACGACCGGAGGTCCAGTAACGCCGACCATTCCGATTCAGAACTCAGTCGCACTTGCTGAGACAAGACCGAGTTTACGGCCAAGAAAAAAAGAACAAGCTTTAGCTGAGCTTCCATGGCAAAGAGTGATAGTGCGGTGGGGAGGACGACGACAGTCTAAAGAGCTCCGTCATTGTCATTATTGACGGTGATGGCGATGATAATGATGATGTCCGTGCATTTCATTACTCCGTCTCTCTGTCTCTCTGCAATTATGAATATCTATGAGTACATGAGCATGGACAATAAATTCAAGAGAACAAGACTTGAGTACCAACTTGTAAATTCTTACCTAAATCAGAAACTTTAATTCTTTGCTCTATATATGCAAATATGCAGAGAGTCACACTCTCTCTCTCTTTGTATGCTATGTTGTATTTGTACCTACGTGTCTGTGAGGCTTTGGTTCTCTATATTCGTTCATGGAGAGTAAAGGCGGAAGCTATTAATGGCAGAAGGTTATTTCTCAACTGCCACAAGTGTATCAATACAGGGTCACTTTCAGTGTCACCGGAGCCATTAATGAATCTTGTGGTGAGGTGAGAGAAAGTGGTTTCTACAGAGTCGAGCCATCTCTTCGTTTTTGGGACTCGGGCTGCTCTTGGAATGGGTCTGATTGTGTGATTGTCGAGCAGCTTTTTCTGCTTCTTCTTCTACTTCTTTTTCTGAGAGATTGTCGTTGACTTCTGGTTTCTCCGGTAAGCGAGCAGAAGCCAAAAGGGTAGTGAATCTGTTACAGTGGTATTAGATCATGCATGGGAATGAATATAATAAGCGAACTGGAATATAAGATTGAGTTCAATCAATTTTTCCAAATTGCTATAGTGGTGTAGATGATATAGAGTTCAGAAGTTATGGAGATTTGGGTTTTTCTTTTGGAAAAGCTATTGCAATTTTCACCCACCCAATAGGCCACCAAGTTGCTCAAGAAATAGGCCACCAAGTTGCTCGAGAAAAACAGTGCTATCGCAATCAGGGAAAAGTTAGGATAAATTACACTCACACCCCTGACATTTGATTTTATTATATGGACACCCTCTCATATTTCAAAAATTACAAAAAACTCCCAAAATATTTAAAACTTATAACAACTACACCCCTCCAACTAACCAATGTTAGAATATTTCATGGACAAAGTTGATGTTATTAATAATAATTTATAAAATACCAAAAATACCCTTCATAACTAAATTTAAATATTTGTTCTTTTTACCCCATTTTTTTTATCTCATATCTCCTTTATTATTTCTCTATTTTATATTTCATATTTAAACTAAAATTCTTTCAATTAAATATTTATTTTCATAATCTATCAAATTAATCAGTTAAATACTAGAATTTTTTGTTTATTATATAACATATTTATGTAAATTCTATTTGTCAATCTAGATTTGCCCCTAAATGCACCATTAACACCATTACCCACCACCCATCGTCGCCTCCACACCACAAAAAACCACCACCTCCTCTCTCTCTCTCTCTCTCTCTTCACACACATAAATATAAAACATCACCACTACTAGTGACGGAGTAACCCCCCACCCCCATCTCCATTTCATCTCCATAACCACACAACACACACCACCACTACCACAATCCAGCAAAATTTCACCACCTTTATCTCCATAACCACCTCCTCAACCATACCACACATAACCTAACAACCACCATTGTCAAAATTAAACCCCAAAAACTACCGTTGTCATTTCAATTTCTCTCTTTCTCTTTCCTTCTTCCTTCTCCTCTCTCCCAATGTTCTTTGCTTAGGTGGGTTGGCATTTTAGATGAGGGAGGTTACTGAATGGGTGCTGCAATGGTGGGGAGGGCTGGAAATTTTTGCTAGTTTTTCTACGATTTCAAGTAGGTTTTTCCTCTCTTTGCCTGTGTGTATGTATATATGTATGTATATACACACACACACATGCACACAGAGAGAGAGAGAGAGAAAAAAAATTGATGATTGAGATTGTTAGGATCACTGGTGGGAGTGAGAGAAAGAGAGAGAAAGTCAAAGAGAATCATTTGGATCGTTGGTGCAAAGAAGGCGAAGATTAGGTTTAGCGATAGGGCATGGGTTGGGGTTGGGGTTTGGGTTTGGGTTGGGTTAAATAGAGGGGCAAAATAGTCTTTTTATTAAGAGAGTTAACTCCATTTAACTATTGGGGTTTTAATGTAATTATTGAAATGTGAAGAGGTGTTCGTATAATAAAGTCAAATATCAAGAGATTTGAGCGTAATTTACCCAAAAAATAATAATAATCAATCAGGCAACCGAACTTGTACTTATCAATGGTGACTTGGATAATTGCCAACTGTATCTCAATCTCATAATTTAGGTTAAAGTAGCATTGCTTGTTTTTATGTTAAAACTAAAGATTAAAATATCATTTAAATATTCAAAAAAAATTATACACGTGTAATTTAATTTTTAAAAATTCTAATTTTAATAATTGATAATAATAGTTTACAATTTGGGTGTGTTTGATTTAGGCATTAACAGAGAATCTTGAATAAAATAACATTTGGGCCTATGTTATCCCATTTATTTTTTCATTTAAAGACGCTTTGAGACCAACATTATCACCTAAAATACTCCCGACCTGAATGAATAGTATTTTTAAACTCACATATAACTTCTTAAATAAATTCACCTATTTGCTGGGTTTAAATAGTTCGGTTGGAATATGTTTTGCCAAAAAATATTTTTATCCTTAAGAATCTTTGGAATATAATTATCTTAAATATTTTTTAGTAATTTAAGATTTATACCATAATGAAATATTGGCAGGGAGAAATGTGAGATCCACTAATTCTTAATATTTAACCAAACATAAGACGAGGAGACATTATCACTATAATTAGTCAAATACCTAAATAAATGAATATGAGATGGACGAGTTTGTCAAATCCGATACTATCTAGTGCCTAAACTAAACAAACTTAGAGTTATAACTTATACTCCATAATATTATAATTTGACCTTAAAAATTACAACTTTCGATACAGTGTTTCATTGGATGTGATAATTATCTTATAACGATTAAATTTTTTTCAAGAAAAATGTACAAGGCAAGGCAAAGACTTGTATTTAGTTGGCTTGTATTTAGTTTATTAAATTTTTTCGCTTGTATTTAGTTGGCTTCTTGCTTTACGAGGCAAGGCAAAGACTTGAGTGATAATTTTTAATACGATTCCTAATCCAATACAATAAAAATTTATTGCGTATGTATTTAATCCCTTTTAGATTTACATTCATAAACAAATTGATCCGTTTTAAAAATGTATATGAACTAATATACATTACATACGCAACTTATATGTTTTGATCGAGTTGGGTTTGGGTTTGTGTTTTGTTGACTAGTTAATTAATTTTTTTATTTTATTTAGATATTATGTGGTAAATTCATAATTAAAGTTTTTTAGTAATTTAGATGCTATTAATTTAAGAGACTATATAAATATAAATTTAATATTTTAAGAACTAGAATAATAGTAGAGACTGCAGATACATGTCCCCTTATTTATACGAGAGCTTTCCTTTACGCGTTAATGATAATTTTTGTTATAGCACTGAGAATGAATCGGTACTGTTAGTTTAAACTAAAATAAAAGGAATTTAAAATTCATTCGGTATTCCGTACGTTTTTCGATATGTTTTTTTTTTTTATCATATCAGTGTGGATAAAATAAGATGAAAATGGTGTCCTTTGCAGAAAAAATGTGAGGAGTCAAACAAACTTTTTGGTCAAACATCACGTGCAATCAATTAGAAAACTATTCCGTGTCCATTAATTTAAATTTATGCAAAGTATTTCTATTTAATTGTTTATGGTATTTTATTTTTATAAGTAAAAGAAATAAATTAATTTTAATTAAATTAAAATTTATGATTCTCAAACGGTTATAGTACCAAAACATATTTATTAATAATATATTTTATTATTCTTTAAATTAATAATTATTAATCGCCTAAAATCAAATCAGTAATTAAATTTTTGCACACACCTGACACCCCTATTTTTTTTAAAAAACCGAAAAAACAAGCAGACAGGTTTCCTACAACTTCAATGACTGAAAGCAAAGGACTCATGACTCTGTTTCTCAACGCGTAATCCGTACGTGGGGCCGACGTCTTTCTTTTCCATTATCTTTTTAGGGGGGAAAAAGAGGACTCCGACCCTTTTCTCCATTTTCAAATCAAATCGTTGATTTGATTTATTGATTTAATTAATTATAATTATTGAACTAATAATAAATTTAAATATATAACAGCATTTAAAGTTAAATAATCTAAATAATATTACCCATACCAATATATATATATAAAATATAGATAATTATAAGTAGGTTTTTGTGCAAGACTTGACTTGGATAATAGTCAAAATTCCTCCCGCAAAAAAAAAAAAAAAGGAAGAGAACTTAGTTATTTAAATAAAATCCATTTCTCATTGAAATCTCATTTTTTTATGATTTTTTTTCTGATTATATCTTGTTTACTCCAATTCCCTTATTCGACAAAATTGACTAAAAATTCATTTATATACAATAATAGTATTGTAGCGGGGTAAAAGTGTAATTTGCCCTAAATATGATCCATCAATTATTAATCCTAAAAATAATCCAAAAAAAACTAAACTGTAATTAAAATTTTTTTCCTATAAGTAACTGTAATTAGACTGGCCCAACCGTAAGAGCATGATGAAGCGCGTTGTTATCCAACAAAAGGAAAAAAGAAAAATAAGAGCATGAAACTGACAGTCTTGGCAGATAAAAGAGACCATCTCTTTCTCGCCACTGCTTGCAAATTGCTTTTAGTTTTGACTGAAAAAATTAAAAAAAAAACCAACCAAATGCATGATTAATAATGCGGATAAGCCTGAAATAGCCACATCGGTACTACGTTTCTATTAATCTCGATAATTTATTTTAAATTAAAAAAATATATAAACATGAGTTATTTTTAAAAATAAAAAATAAAAAAAATTTTTTTCGATAATGTAAATACTTCCCCTGATAATTGGTGGACAACACTGCAAAAGAAGCTTGACAATTCTTGATAGAATTTTCAGAAAACAAAT